CCGACGCCGACCTGGCAGGCGACCCATGTACCATGAAGAGTCACAGTGGACATTATATGGTCATTGTCGATTCTAGTGGAACTAAGTTCCCGGTCATGTGGAGTGCAAAGAGGCAATCATGTGTAAGCCGTTCTACAACGGAAGCAGAGATCGTGTCGGCTTCTACCATGATCTTCGATGACGGTATTCCCGTCAAATCAGTACTAGAGCTTGTATTGGGTACAGAAGTGCGAACCGTGCTGAAAGAGGACAATTCGGCAGTATGCCAGATTATCCGTAATGGGTATTCCATCAAATTGCGGTCATTGAACAGAACTCATCGAATAAGTGTGGCCGCTTTGGCCGAAAGTGTCAAAATGGGTTTGGTAGAAGTAGAGCTGACCCCAACGGGAGAACAGCTAGGAGACATCTTCACCAAGGCGCTATCAAGACCCAAATTTCTTTTGGCTCGGGATGCAATCATGGTGTGCCTGTGTCCTGTCTTGTCTAAGGAAACCTGACGACTAAGGACAGCACTCAGGATCCGTACTAAGGTCGAGAGTCGTACCTTTGTGTCGAAACTTCGTAAAAAGTAAACCCGTTTTCCAGAGGTTTGACCCAGCGCTTGCGCGGGCTAACTGAGGATTGTTTGGTTGACGTCTTCCTTGTCTTTAAGTTCTTTGTTGGTTGCGGCCTTCGTCTGCTTGCGGCGCCTGGCACTTTGCAGCGGCGCTTTCTGAGCCTGTACTTTAATTTTTGTACCTTAGTATCTCCCTTGTGTAGTTCCTTTTAACTTCCTCAATCGTCTGCTCTACAGAAGCGTGCATACGCAAGCCTGGCTGGGGGGTTTGCATTTGCACGAGGCGTTGCACCAAAGCAGTCGTTTGAGGGGGGGACGAGAATCACTTGGGGATAAACCTGCTGTTTTCACTTGGTAGGAATTCAGTTTGCCATAGCTGTGACGATAACTAATCGTCTTACTTGATCTTTGGCTCAAGGTTGAAAAGGGTGCTGAAGCCACTAAAACGTATATATATATATAATATTATACATTATAGTATACTAGGGCCCTCTAAGGGGTCTTTATTTACAGCCCTTGTCGTTCTCCAAGACAAGCCCAATCCCACCACCTCGGTCACAGAGCGTGGATCTGGAAGGAGGAGAGCCCAAGGGTTGCAATGACCTCCTCAGGTGCTTAGGGTTGGTTTCATTTGGCTTTCACTAATGCATCAGTACCTTCTGCAGATGTTGTTGCCCCAGGTTTCACCGGATCAATGTTTTGCTCTCATCAGGTGGTCTACGGCTATGATCGGAAACTAACTCGACTGAAAACCACCTCTGTGGCTTGGCAGACACCGAGGATCCACTCAACCCCCAAAGGAAGGCTCAAGACTAGTACCAAAAATTTTTTCAGGACTCAGGGGCAGTTCTCAGAAGGCAGGGCCATCCCCATTTTCCCTCGAAATTTGGGGTTTCAATAATTCAATACCGTCCCTTTGCGGTGGGCCTTGGAATTCCAAATGGATGATTATGAGCGACGTTTTACTACGACATCGTTCTCGACGTCGACTTCGTCACTCTTCAAAGGGTAGAACGCATCGTGAAGATTCTGAATTCTTTGGAGGTTCCAGGCTGCCACGTTTGATCGTTCGGTTTTTCCGTGTCAAACGCAGGTCGACCGGTTCATTCCAAAGAAGATATGCCACAATCAACGAAGACCGGTGTCCCAAATCCGGCATTCAAACGTTTGACTTTCCGCACACCACCGGTGCGCCTGGAATCACGACCGAGCCCGCGAACCCCGAGGTCGGCGCAGCGTCTGCGGCCGGAGAGTTACCGTCGAACGGGGTGGTGTCTCCACCCCAGCAGGTGCTCTTTTGGCTTTAAGCAGAATGGTTTGGCGCCAAACAGGGGCGACTGGACTCTTTCAAGCGATGCATCGTGTACGGACCAGGTCCAAGTATGTCAAAGATCATGTCAAACCTTATCCCACATCGTCCAACGATGGCAACTTGAGGTTCTTGAGCAAAACCCAAGCATATGGTCATGTGGATATGGCTTCTAGTAGTCCATGCACAGACAGATTGAAGGATCGATTTTATATACTTGGATTGTGTACCATGCAGTTGGCGTTTATGTTGTAATAGTTTTATAATAATCTTATATAATAGTAAGTCCCAAAATACCAAAAGGCGGCAGCTTTCCCTTTGCAACCTCCCAAAAAGGCTTGGCAGTGGCCGGAAGACACGCACCATTTCCAGGGTGTGGGTTTTGCGAAGAACACAAAAGACTCGGATCCTCCTTGTGCTTGTCCTCTCCATCTCAAACTCCGTCTAAGAAGATGGGGACCCCTCCACAAGGATGGCGGGGTTGATCCGCTTCATTCTCGAGGTTAAGTGGAGGACCAAGTCATGATTCTGTCAAAATTGTTTGGCGCGATTCGAATCGCACAATAGAATAGATTTGGGGCTGTAGGTGAAGCTGAAAGTCTTACGCTTGAACACACCATTGAATATTATGTATATAGCCATTTCGAAGTTATACTTTGCCACTGTATGACTGTTTCCCTACTGTTCCCCGCAATGTCGATACAAAGAGCTCACATCGAGCTCTTCGGCAGTGTGCCCGCATGGCTTGTTCTGGTGAAGTGTGGCCACCCCTCTACCAGCCCAGAAGGTCCAGCAGACTTTTCGGATTAAATAAACCCTTTCAGCTATGTGTTTTCGTTTGAGGATGTTTGAAGAAGCTGTTCTCATCTCTTGATCCGGGAACCTTTTTGGGTCACCTTTTTTGTTCATTCCACATCTCTCGAAGAAAGGCACCACGGCACGACCAAAATGATTATTATTTACTATGTGATAATTATAGTGTGTTATATTTTCTTTTGGGGGGGGTCCTTGGGCAAATCCAAGAAAGGATGAAACCTTTGGGAGTGTCAAAAGGGGCAGGGTCGACTTGCGGTTCTGTTTGCTTTCCATTTCTCGAATCCCTGCGCAAGTAATCGGCATGAGGTTGATGAACTGTATGAACATAGAAATAGACTGGGACGAGAGGTGGTCATGAGAGAACTGTTTATATTTGATTGGTGAGCATGGGACTAGCTCGGCTAGCTGTAGCTCACCGACCGTTGACGGATTTTTATTGGATTTCAAGCCGCCCTGCGAAAGTCCGTTTAACCCAGGGGATCCAGGTACGTTCTGATGGAGACGACCAAGGGAACTAGACCGATTGGAACGAGTCCCAGATTCAATGTTTCGACCACATTGTGGAAACTGGGATCCACTGGGAAATGGATCAAGGATGATCATAATCACCCCGTTGGACAGCTCCAGGAAGCCGCCCCCAGGGCGATGGCCAGGACCCTCCATGGGGTATCGCATGAATAGCAGAGATGATTCAGGGTGGCCATTTTGTGGGTCCTGGCATATGGTTACTCACCCGGAAAAGGGTCCCAAAGAAATACTTTGTGATGCACTGACAAATGTCACAAGTACTTCAAAGGTAAGTTCAAAGGTCTGGAAAAACTAATTATATAGGGCCGTATGGCAAAAGGTCTTAAGACCTTTTGGATTCATGTCCTTTTCGGGGGAAGCGTCCAGCTTCGATCATCCGATGCCTTTCAAGACAGCACCGAGTGACTCTTGGTGAGTGCCGCACCCCGAACGTGCCCAGTCCGCGCGATGCACGATGTCCCAGTCCCACCGTCGGCTTCGAAGCTGTGGAGCTGCAATGCATTGACTTCGCACGGAATCGATTCGGCACGTCACGAAACAACATGGACACTTTGGTTGCTGCATGTCCGTTCAAAAAGGAATCCGAACTGGGCTCGATTCGTACCTCCCTGTGGTTGTCGATCCAAGACCAGACGTCAGACGACTGAAACGGTCCAGGCCGGTGGAAACGGAAGCGAAACGAAGCACGAAACGAAGGCTCCGAAAAAAGCTCCGAAACCAGCTGGAACGCTTCAGGTCCCAAAATTGATGTATAAAAAGCAACGCGGAGCCGCGGCAAAACGGAATGAATCGCCGAGAGCAAGAAGGTCGCCGCGAGTCCTGAAGTGGAATTTGTTGTTGTGTCGCGCTGGCATTTGGGAGCGAAGAAGGATGACACGTGGACCTTGCAAAGTTTTCCACCAGTGCCAGTGCCCTTTTTGGTGCTGGTTGATGTGTTGAAAGACACAGCTTCAAGGCGGAAGAGAGGAAGCAAAAGAACTGTGCTGCAGACTTCGAGCAAATTTCTGGACCCTCCAAAGTACCTAGAACATCCTAGAACTGGGCCATCATCCTATTAAACCATGGCAAAAAAGACTGGTCTTGTATTATACTATTGTACTCATTTTCAGAGGTACCAACAGGTCGACTCCAGGGGAGTCTTTTTGGTTGTGGTCCTCAGGGTGTAGTTTAGTCGATTTTCGCAGCATGTGGGTTGATCAGATGCGGACGGTTTTTGGCGCATTTCGGTGACTGGGCCAGACATGAAAATACGGAGCCCTCCACCTCGACGGACCACGGATCGGGAGTAGCCTCGAAAATGGGACATGCCTGACTCCTGACCCTATTAAAAACACAGCTACAATATGCTATTTTCTGAGGTAAGACCAGGTCAACTCCCAGGTATGTATACGGTATGAAGCAATTCTTTCCTGGATCAAAGCATCTCGTTTTGAGCTACGTTTCTCTCGATTCGGGCCAAGGAGTTGTCCGAGAATCCCTTCTTAGAAGGGATCAGTGAACTCAAGATTTCAAGAAATCTGATTTTTAGAGATGCAACATCACCCTCGGAATCTTGTGCCGCTTGAGATGTTTCACAAGCCGCTGAGGTCAATACACCGGGCAACACATTCAGATGTGGCGGATCCAAGCGTGTCTCCTGCGGTATCCAAGTGTGTCTGAATGGGTTGAAGTCGATCAACATGTGGGCCATGTGGCACGTGCGGGTCCACACAGCTGCCTCTTCCGGAGGGTCCTCGTCCAACCGGTGCCCGGCGACCTTGCATGGAACTGTGTCCGGATCTCTGGCAGGTCCATTGTCCGGATGATCAGCTCGCACCCCTGGAAGGCTGGACTTGGAATGTGGAAGAGAGGCTTCAGTTGAAAAACCTTGAAGTACCACGGGTTTTTGATATCTCCGGGTGGTGTGAAGAGTCCTACCAGTAAACTGGATGTGACGCTCGGGCACCCCGACGGCCTCCATGGATATCACCCAGTTGAAACTGTAACCGATTGACATGGACGTCACGTCGACTGGGAAACGCATACATACTGAACAACGGTCCAGGTCATACTAGTACCTTAGAAAATGGATGAACATGGGACATGAACATGGAAAACAAAGTTACTTGTACCATCTTGTACCATTTTGTATCCATATACTGGGGTACGAATCGAGACTGCAGGTACATAGTGTGAGATGCTGGTTCCCATTGTCTCTCTAGTCACTTCAGTCACTTTTCGACTGATGATAGCAATAATTGTGATACATTACATCGATCAGGAGGACCTGGGGCATGTCATGTGGAGAGCTCATTGTCAGCTTATGATGGCGCTAATACTCTTCAATTTATTAGTTTTGCTATGTTTTGCCGAGACTGCAAGCTTCTGGCAACTGGGAAGCAAGCTACTGCAGAAGCTCCTGGCTTGAGGGTCAACTGCATGCATCTAATATTAATAGAGGATAATAGAGGCCAGAAAAGGGATAATGTGTTTTAAACTGTCGCTCATGACCGAGCTTTCATGATCCCCAGCCTTTTCCCATGGGTTCCAAATGTAGGTTTAAGTACAACTTCTCTTTCCTTAAATGACATGTCGCAGCTCTCCACCCCAAACGGGAAAGAAGTGGCGGCCACTCACCTGCTCTGAGTGATGGGCCTGCTGGGGCGCGAAGCCTTCGGGCGTCAGGCACGAAAGAGTTCCTGGAGCTCATCAAGCAGGGTTCTAAGGGTCCGGAGCCGCCCCTGGCGAAATGGATCTTCAGTGGGACGTGAATCGATCAAACAGGTATTAATATAGAGCACTGTAGCATCTATATCATCGAAAAGGCGGGGGGTGATTCATCAAGAGTCTACATAACCTGGACTTTTGGGGCCCCTTGAGCCAAGAAACAGGGAGCTTGTCATGTGTGTCAAGACTCGATGGAGAGGAACCCTCCGACGATGACGTTGTTCGGGTGACTCGTTCGCGCGGATTGGGATTCGTTCGCGCGAGTGTCCACAAAGTGGACTTTTGGGCAGATGATTGAGGTTCCATGTTTCTCAAAGAGTCTTATGGTTGAAATGCAAAGAAACCTGAGAAATTCCCAGGACATCTCAGACCTTTTGATCAGATTCAAAGAAGATCGATTTATCAGAGAACGAGAAAGCAATTGATAGCATGCTACAATCAGTAATTGCCCATGCTGCAAAGACACACACACACACACACGTCACACTCAATAGCCATCCCTTTGTGCTCATACTTTGACTTAGGACATGAGTTCTTAGTTGATTCAGTCTAGTGTATACAAGTTGCAGATCATTTTTTCAATCCGACCAAACCATACACCAAACCAATACACACAATGAGTCCCCAGCTTCTTCCTCTAGACCTTTTTGGCGTCCTTATAAGTTAAGTTAATACACAGTAAGTGACCTTTTACGGGCCTGTTGGTGACCTCAAACCAGGGAATCAAAGGGTCACTTAGAAGAACCAGGCCAATCAATGCGTTTCCAACTGCTTGATGATGTGACCCAGAGTTTTGCTGAAATAGAGCTGTTGACACATTTCCACCAGAATTTGAATGATGTCCCTGGTAGATGTGTATGGAGTTTTGAAGGTCAGTATCTTGGGAAGCATTTTGCCATACTAGATGACAGAGGGCACCTCCACTCTCTTTCGGGACAGTCTGGAATCGATCGGACCAGTGACAGGGATCCTGGATTGGCAGTGACTCGGTGTGCGTCCAACCCTTTTTTGGAGCTGGACGGAGCACTCCCCTGTTGAACCGTGAGAGTGAAAGTGAGAGTGAGAGTGAGAGTGATGCACACCAAAAACAAATGCTGAACACCGGATGCAAAACCCAAGCCCAAAGTGTTTTTTCTTTTAATAACGTTGATTCAACTATGCAACCGAGTCTTGCCCTGCTTCGACTGATGTAGTCGAAGTACATCCTGCAACATGTTGAGGGTTCAGTTGAAACAGTCGAGGGTTCTGTACCTGAAATCCATGGTCCGTCCGTCCGCCCTGTTTGGGGTGTTTGTATCAGCCAGCCACCCCAAAAGATGTTATATTAGGGGTCTTCGTGAATCATCCAACTCCTTGATGGGTCCTGGTTTTACAATAAAAACATCCATGTCTGGTTCTTCAAAGTGACCTTTTGATAACCTGGTTTAAGGTCACTTAAGCCTCCCTGTTGGGTCACTTAGGAACCTTCAAGAGGTCACTTTGAAGAAGCTGGTATGGAATCTTTACCCTTACATTCCCTAGGGCTCCTGTCCCATCTCCTCAGGTTCGGTGGAGACCCCCCCAATCCTTCCCCAACCATCGAACCTCAGGAGGTGGGCCAGGAGCCCTAGGGTTGACCCTTAAGACCATGTAGAACACCCTCCGAACTCCATGGGTCTCCTCCTGGTCCTCTGTTTGTTTCTTCGGCGCTGCTCCTCGAGCCCCAAGGCCTGGTGAGGAGGAGATCGCTCAGCGATTGGGATGGGGTGGGTCAAAACAAAGGAGCCAAAAACCATCGTCCTACAGCCAGCACCTGGAGCGTTCCGTTTCGTCTGAGGAGTCGTTCATTCTGAGTCGTGGGACAAGGGCATGCCAACACGTAGTAGGAGACTAGTGACTAGGGCATGCCGACCCCCAAAGATCGGGTTGGTTTCTGGGATTGGATATTATATATATATAACCAAACATAAATATGGAGTGTTTGGTGCACAGACTGTGTCTATTTAAATACCGAGGTACAAGCTGGGTACAAACAACATCAAGTAACATAATCTCCAGGTCTTGCGGATGTGGCAAGACTTACGGCAGGATCGTTTTTGCGGGCACGATCTAGAGGATCATCATCGTTCACACCATATATAGACCTGGAAGAGCACCTCGCAAGGTAAATGGTAGATCTGACAAAATCCTTCAATCCCTGATCAAGAGGAAGTCTTGAAGTAATACTTTGAGCATCGAATTTATTTTTGTTTCTTATTTGCCACTCTCGTGCTAAATCCGTTCTCGTTGGTACTGTGATTGTCTTACCGGAAGAAGCCGGTGAGCTTCTTCCTCTGGTGGGCCTCACGCGTCACGCGGCACGCGGCACCGCGTTTGGCGAGGAACGGCCGAGCACCGCCAACACCAGACATGATGTGGGGGTCCCGCTTTGCATGCGAGTGGGTCATGGGGTCGGCAGATGGCTCTTGAAGTTTTGAGCGGTCAGCGATGTGTCAGCTGTCAATCCCTAGGGCTCCAGTTGTACCTCCTCAGAAGGTGTTTGGACCCTCCTGGCACCCACCCCAAAGACCTTCTCAGGCTTGGAGCCCTAGGGAATGGGCTTAGGGTTTAGGTTTTGCGAAAATACATGGTTTACGTACTGCCACCCTCTGAAAGGGTGATGTGTTCAGTTGGCCTCCAAATCGAGAGTGCAGCAGAGGGAAAACCCAATTCGCAAGTGCCACAGCTTGGGTCTAACCTTTTGTTTAGGCGACTTGTAGCAACTTCAGGTACAGTACGAGCCACTGATTTTCAGGTGATTGCCTCGAAGTTAAGCATGCCCATGTTGGAAAGAGTTTGACTCCTCAGAGCGTTCTCAGTATGTAGCAGAGGTCATTTCCAGGTCAACCTCAGGACTCTTCCGGCGACAAGCCGACCGAAGTGTTCTCACCGACGCCCAGGACCTGTTGAGCACTTGTGATGGTAGCCGTCGAGACCCAGAAAGTCGCTGCGACCTTTGGGAAGGCCACGGCCTTGCGGAGTGACAACGGCCTTGGACGGTGCGGGTATGCGGGGGGCGGTGTAGGCTGAACATGTTTCCGTCCAGTTGCGGAAGCGGAAGAACACCATGTGAGACTGAGATAGTTTTGCGAACAAAAGGGCACAACCAACCACTATAAATACAAGAGTCATAATAAGTCACAAGTAAATCCAAGCCTCATGTCCAAGCCTTCATTCGGCGTGGTCAAGACCGAACCCACCAGATCGATTCGATCATCTTCCATCGATGGATTTGGCTTGGGGGGGCCGCGGATCCAAGGCTCGGAACGCCCGGGCTCCTCAGATCAGCGCCCTGGAAGCTCCGGAGGCCTGGCTGTCCGAGTGGTCAGTTACCCACGCAGACTCCTTAGGAACCATCAACATCCTTCTTTGAAGAAGAAGAACAGATGCAAAGAAGGAAAGAACATACCCAGACCCGACTTCGATTGTACCGAAAATGGGACATGACCCTACCCCAAAACTGGTATACGTTCTGAGGTACGAAGTACAAACTGAGACTCCTAAGGAACTTGGACGGCAGCCCAGATCCCAATTGTTGTTTGGAAGCAGGATGGGGTGTTTGGAAGGAGCTGCCTGGACCCTGCAATGTACCTCGTTCTGCGGTTTTGGGGGGTTGGAGGCTCCGTATTAGGAGCCTCCACCCGAACGACGGCGCCTGGAGACCTGGGAGACATGACCCGAGCGAGACATGGCGCGCACGAAGAATCAGGTACCAGGGCCTTCAAGGGGTGCTAAGGGGCTATAAATAGACACCCCGACAGGAGGGTCCTGGTACAGGTACTTGCCTCAAACCCTCTGAGGCCAAGGTGGAACTCACAGGTCGACTCCAGGTAGGTCCAAAGAGACCTGTACCCCTGAGGTCCAAACTGAGACTCCAGGTCACTCACTATCCTGGTTCTTCAATCGAGCAGACATAAGTGCTCAACCTGCTAAATGAATCGGGTGGTTGTTGGGCAAACGAACCCGATTTGGCTCAAATGAGCAGTGCAAGCTCCAGACTGGAAAACATGGAAAACTAATGAAAACTATATCTTATAAGCTTCATTCAGCTTCGTATGGTGCTCGCATAGTTGTTTTTTTGTTTTTCAAGACGCACGTTGAATAAGCCAAGCACTTATGTTCGCTCATTTGACGACCCGGGATTCCTATTTTATCCTATTCGGTCTCATCGGGTCTCATCGGTGGCAAGGTCAACAACTCTACGTCAAACTGGCTCCGGCCATTCAGAATGAGCTCAAACGATTGCTCAGGGTGTCACGGCAATGGTCGGGTCGCTAGGGGGGGTTAGACCCAGTTCTTCCTCGTTAGACAGGGAGCCGGAACTCGAGACCACGGGACTTCCCCAACCCCCGACAGCTCGGGAATCGGTCGAGAGGATGTCCTCTCGATCGGCCAACTTCGTGAGAAGGGGCGGAACATCTGCTAAGTTCGTGAACCTCAAATAGAACTTCAAGTTCAATTGACCAGGCTCTGAACCTCAAAGCTCTGAACTAAGAATAGTTTTCAGGCTCTTTTAAAGCCTTTTGCTCCCCTTAATACTCTTAATATAGGCCACCTTCAAGGTCCTCGCACCAAGCAAACACTGCAGGGGCGGCTGCCATGGGCACTCTTGGTATGTCCGGGAGAGATCGGTTTGGGCGGGTGGGCCGGGTTGGAGACGTTGGAAGCTTATATCTATGGAACCCTACACTTACACCTACGAATTAGTTGTGGTTTAGGGGTTCTTGGTTCTCTAGGTACCTCAAGAAGAAATGGTCAGTACCTGAGGAGGTGCTATATTTTCTCAGTCCATGGAGATTGGAAAAGGAATGAACATGAGACATGCAACACAATAACTTTCCAAAGAGGAAATACATGGAAGTACTCGACCCTCCGAAGTACCTTAGAAACGGTCGAAAACGGGACATGCCCTCATAAAAAGATCGGGTAGCTTGTACCCATGTTCCGAAGTACGAACTGACACTCCAGGTATAAGGACATCGCACAAGGACATGTTGAGAGAAACCTGTGAGGTCAGATCCGATGAACCCGGGTTGCGTAAGTGCTGCGTTCGATCCTTTTGCATGCAGCATGTGTTCAAGTGCTGTGTCACGTGTGCATTTGTTGAAAAGGGTGTGGAATTCTGGCAATTTCAGATCTTGAAGAGTCGGTACTGCGGTACCGGTTCCACATGTTCCATGTCGGTACCGGTCGGTACTTCGGATGGTCTTCTCTGGAGCGATGGCGCGATGGCCTCCAACCCAATAGCAATGGCCTCCAACCTGGAAGCAATGGCCCCCAACCCAATAGCAATGACCTCCAACCTAGAAGCAATGGCCTTCACCCTCTGGGCATGTTTATCTTTCAAAGACCACTAACTCAGCTGAGGCCCATGGCACCACTGGGGCCCATGGTACCGCCTCTGGAGGAGGCATCGCAGAATGAACCAGCATCTCACTGCGGATTCCAGGAATTCCACTATATATAGTATAAGGAACCAGGGGGCCTCTTTCACCTATGGTTTAGTCTTTGGACCCAGATCTTCTGGGTTCGTCTTGCGACCAGAGATCGTATCTTCTCGCTCCGCGACCCGTCTCACGGTTGAAAGATCGTCTCACGTCCCAGGGGTCATGTTAGGAAGGAGGAGTGAAATTCCCGTTTGAGCAATTGCACGATGCGGTCAACACAAAAGTTTGAGGTTCATATATGTTTCAATGGATTTACTTTCCCAAAACCCAGAGTTCAGCAGCTGATGGCAGTCAGGTGGGAGGAACCGAGGTACGTAATTCCAGCGCTTCGAATTTGGATCTTCTTTACTTGAACTACTCCCAGGTCACCGACCTGTAAAAGGATCGCGTACTAAAGGGGTGTCGAAGGTACGGTCAGAAGTTGGTATCAAAGCCTTTTATACCTGGAGCCATCTCAAGCCTTCTCAAGCCATTGGAGAACTCCAAAGATGACGACGTGGTTCTCCCAGGTTCCGCCCAGCCAGGTATATAGATATTTGTATTTGAGGTTCATAGTCATCAGTCATTCTTACCGCAGCCCCTTCGGCCCTTCCACTTGCGACTCTCGACTTGTCCATACTGCCAAGCTTGGCTGGCTGGTAGGCTGCGCCAGAAATGACTTCATCCCATGGTGGGAATCCCTGGTGGGAACCTGAACTGCGCATGGAAGGTTAGTCCCGATCCAGAGATCCCTAGGACCAGCAACAGCAACGGACCAACGTCGTCTGAGACGTGGAAAAGAAGCGAGACATGACAGACATGATCGTTTCAAAACAGGATCCTAAATTTGTACAGGTGATTGTTTATGTTCCCTAATACTGGCAAATCCCCTCCTGTTGTTTTCATTTCCCGGTTCCTGAAGCCAATCCAAGGTACCCATTGAATTACGACCAGGTCCAGGTGGATCCACCGCAGCTTTCATAATCGTTGGTCGACAGGTGGGTTGACCTCCAAGATAGCTTCCAATGCTGGTGGTGTTCTACTTCTCGCCATGGGCTTTCATGTACCCAGGAGCATCTACCCATCCCAGACGAGGTGAATGTTTCACGAACGGGAGGGTGATACATGAAGCTAACGTATTTTTCATATAGAACATCCGGCATGATGCATCACGATCCAAGGTTTTAACATGTTTTAACTATAAGGTACTAGGGGTCACTGAATGCCGCTAGGCGCCACACGTGGAGAAGCAGATCGAGGTGCCAAAACACAGAAAAAGTCGACAGCAGGAAGTGAAGCAGAAGAGCCGTGCTTCTGGACCAGTACCTTGGGGTTCTGTTGAATACAGTTACCACCCGGAGTCTCACTTAATTACCTCGGAGAATGGGTACAAAGTAGTAGCTGGTGCATAGGCTTAGGGTCATGTTCCCGTTTTCGAAGGTACCAGCAAGACGTTGGGTCCAGGTAGTTTTCGAACCTTCAAAGCCCAGCTTCGTTGACGGAGGTGCCCGGCTGCGCTGCTCGCGCCATGTCACCTCCTGACTATCCACCTCCCGAGCTACTGGAGCAGCGCAAGGCCGCGCTGCGGGCAGCGAAGCTCGTGGAGGCGGGGGCGAAGCTCGCCGTCACGGGGAGCGAAGCGACTTCGTCGAGGTTGGATTGGAAGACAAACTGTTTTGAATCAAGTATATACAACTACCTGGTTTGAACATGCACATGCTTGAACTATAATCTTGAACTTTTTTTTTGTTCAGTATCAAGTATACCTGGCTTGAACTAGTTTTTGTTCAGTACCAAGTAGAATCAAATAGACCTGGCTTATATGGGGTACCCATTTTCTGGCTGTGAACCGAGACGTCGGGTGAGACGGGAATCAGTGAGGTCCGTACCCCTCCTCCGTTGCGACACGTTGGTCTGATGGGACATGACATGACGGTCGGACCGGCCACCGGCCTGGATGGTGTTGAGGGATGGTGTTGTGTGGGATTTTTTTCGCAACATCCCACACGAAACAAACACCTTTTATCAAAACCATCTTTAAAAACCTATCCAAGTGGTATTTTGGGGGCACATGATTCTGAGCATTTTGGGGGGACATGATTCTGAGCTGCACATACCACACTTCTTCGGGCTGCTGCAGGAAAAGGGTGCCACATCCACTCACCTGAGGCTTTGGGACTCAAACACATTCCGACATGGGCCGGATCCAGGAGTCGTACCGAGTCCCCTGAACCGGTTCGGTACGACTGGACCGGTTCGGTGCGTTTTGGCACCTACACTACATGTCTCAGCGTCTCCCAAGGTACGACTGGATCCCTAGGTATCAGTGTCTCAGTGTCTCAGGTATCAGTGTCTCACTGTCTCTCAGGTCTCAGTGTCTCTCATGGGTCATTTGTTGGTTTCCCAGTTCTCTCTCTAGAGTTTCCGGCACCTAACGGGTTGAGGTCGAACACCCGTTCCTTTGCTGGGCTTTCGGCGGGGTGACGAAGGTATAAGCCCCACTGACCGGCCACCTGAAGCAACCGCCGACCTTTCCTGGTCCAATAGGCCCTGAGGTCCGCTGAGACTCCTGGTGACATGAAGACTTGAAGACTTTTTTTCTTTGTGTCTGGGTCTCGCGTCCAGAGTCAGGCTCAAGAAATCAAGAAAATGTATTGTAAAACATGGGACGACCTAACATGACCTATAACGAACCAAAAGAGTCAGCTACCGCTCGGGGACCATCTCTTTCGAACTTACATGTTCGACTCCGTCCGTCGATCGCTGCCAGGCCGAAGTCTCCGAGGCCATCCGCGCCGTGACGAAGGGCTATGCCGCACGTCGCGTGGAGGCGCGGGCGGTCGGCGTCGGTGAGTGGACGTTATACGGAGTGCTGTCGCAGCAGAGCCCCTTGTTTTGGTTGCTTAAACTCTGAAGTGATTGAGGGGTGTCCATGAAGCATCCGCTGTTTGGGTCTTGGTACATGATTGTTGTATAATTATAGTCATTATAGTCATGTCACATGTTCGAGGTTACGACCTGGAGGGTGCAGGAAGAACATGGATGTTTGCTAGGAGTTCTGGACCCTCCAGTTTGGACTCTGTAGAAAATGGAACATGATCCAAACAAAGAACAGCTACTTTCCTGAAGTCTCAAAGACTCGGAGACACTTGCACAGGTTGACTCCAGGAAGATCTGTGAAGTGTGCAACAGGTGATAACAGGTGTGGCGCGCGGACGTGGAGACAGTTCATTTCAGAAGTGGAAGTTTCACCGTGGTTTAATTTGTGTGGTCTCCTCTCTTTGAGACCTGAACCACACCGGGGCCCCCTAAGACAAGCCCCTTAGAGCCTTATGGTTAAGGGGTGGCTCCTGGCTTGCTCAGGGGCCGGGGCCGGAGCTCAAGAAGACATGGTGACCCTATATATGGTGACCCTATGGTGACCCTATAGTCATATTCTATCGTCTATCACATCCCCGTAAACTAACAACCGCGCCCCGTACCCTGTACCCCTGTACCCGTACCCGCGCCCGTACCACCGTACCCTGTGCCTGTACCTGCGCCTGTACCACCGTACCAAGTATCCGTACCCGTACCGACACATGCCCCCAAGCCACCGCACCTACACGTGCTACCCGCAAGGCCCGCCAGAGACACATAGGGAATCATTACTCATTACTCTTGAAAAAATAGATAAGGTATGACAATTCCTAGTAATTAATTCCAAAGCTAGTTGACCCCCCAGTTGTCACAAGGCATTTTGGGACGCACTTAACGGAAGCAAGGACATGCGACATGCTAGCGTCATGGTCCAGGTCTCTCACCGGCCCTACCTGGAGTCTCAGTCTGTACCTCGGAAAATGGGTACAGGGGACAAAGTACAAGCATTGTTTGTTTATGCTGGTCCTTGCTGGGTCTAAGCAGTGGTGAAGGAAAACAAGAGTTGTGGGTGCTGAGTCGGGTACTGGTCGTTTCTCTTAGCAGATCTGGCCCTAGGGCTCCTGTCCCATCTGAGCTGCTCGCCGTACTGTTGGTTGCTTAGCAAAACTAAATATCCCCCCCAAAAAAATTGACGTTCGCACTCGAAAGGTGTTGGACACCATGCCATCCTCTCTATGTGCGAACCAGCCAAAAGGCGGTGTACGATGGGTCACCTGGCATCGACCTGTTCTGACCCAGAACTCATCCCATCGACCTGCTTCACTTGGCAGGCAGCTGAACTGGTGGCGAGCTGTACTCAACAGGCGTTGTTTTATTGGATGATTGGATGAGCTCTACCAGGAAGTAATAAAGCCCTCCAGTTTGTTTGTACCTCCGTTGAGCCTGGACCCTCCAGTTGCATACTTTGAGGATCTTATGTTTAAGTAGCCTTGACAGCTCGAGTATGTTGTAGCTTAGAGAGCTTCCACTCAATTGATCATTGGAGGGAGGCGAAAGAAAAAGGGCACCAGCAGCCACTGGCTTTTACATGTTTGGTTTGATGTTTCTCTTCCCATATGGGTCTTTGCAGGGTCTGGGGTTTGCTCCCAATTCCCATAGCCGACACATCCCAACACCGCTTCCACCTCGAGTCTCAGGTTCCTCGGAACATGGGTACAGTCATGCCTACCATTTTGTTTAAGGGTCATACTTCCCAGTCAGTTTCCAGGGTACTTTCCGAGGGTCCAATCGTCTCTTTTTGAGGTTTTCCAGTAGTCGCTTCATCAAGTCCACCAGCCTTCCGTTCTGGGTTGCGAATCATAAGGCCATACCTAGATCTTCAGTCCGGCACTTTTACAGGGTCCGGCGCCGGACTTCCAACTCCGGCGTTTTTCTGGATTTGGTCCGGCAGTTTTTCCAAGTCACTTGAAATGTGGATTCTCAAGGCTTTGCATTCTTTGTGGCTTACAAAGTGTGCTCGTTTGCCTGTTCCGCTGTTTTCTCATTCCACTGGTTTCAGCATGGTTCACACTGGATCAATCAGATCCGTTTAATCGGATTAAATTGGTACAGTGCGATGCACGTGTTAAAAGACCCAAGTGGGTGTACCTAAACTGAAAGAACATAGGCGCAGATGTACTCCCATTGTTTCAGGATGTCGGGGCTGGGATATATTTAGTTCTAGTTGCGCAGGCTTGCAGAGCCTGCCGGACAAGTTTTGGGCTGTGGAACATATGTTGTTCAGAATCTCAATGTTTTGCAGAGAGTTGCTAAAACAATTGCACGTCGAAACTCCGGCGTAATTTCCCGTAACTCCGGCGTATTTTTTTGGACTCAGTCTTTTGAATGGTTTTTCAACTAAGAGTTTCGACAGGAACCATGAGTTCTGCTAACTACTTTTTTGGCGGGGCCGTCCTGAGGCAAGCTTTAAAAAATCATTTAAAACCATCAGAATCATGGAGAGCCACTTTGTAAAAAAAGAACAACTTTAGAGACACGGTTGCAGAGAAATAGGTGCTCCTTGCCACATACTCCTTGGTTTCTTCTTGGAAGTCTTTGCTTGGGCACAAGTTTGCTTATATTTTGTGATGGTTCTGCTCTTAGGCCATTTGGAAGATGGGCGAGGGCAATGGGAACGGGAAGGCTCCAGTGCTGGGTTGTGGAATGAGTGTGTTCTAGAAAAACTACCCATGGCGCAAAGGCAGTTTGCTTGTGTAGAATCTTGGATCCGGATGTTTTTTCAGGTCTCCGGCGTTTTTTTCGGAATCCGGCGGAATTTTGCCGGATTGAGGTCCGGCATGTTTTTCCGCCCAAAGGAGCATCCAGGTATAATCTGGACTTGTTCTTTTGACAAACAGAACACAGCGGTAGGATCACCGACCCCGGACCAAACACAGGGCTGTTTGAGTTTCATACTCAACTCCTGACTTCGTTCGAGCCTTAGACAATGAGATATGACCCATCATGACTCCTACTTTCCACACAAAAGAGAACGATGGTACAATCTGTGTCCAGTTTTTGAGGTAACAGGTTGATACCAAGTACCACTTTTCCATGCACGCACGCCGGCGCCCCTCAGGAATGAAACCAACAGTTTTAAACCCATGTCTATAATAATCCTCTATAGGGGAGATCCAGGCAGGATAAAGACTCATCTTTCCATGTTCCCCAGGCGTGACCTTCCAAAAACATCCAGAATCTAACTGATCACCGCGTCACCCAATGTTCACTCGATCTTCACACGACGTGAACGTCGTGATCACCGATGGGGTGAAGCCGGATGTATACATGGACCCTCCTTCAAGTATGAGGACGGGAGGTCGGTTGTGAATGGAGGCCCCAAATATTTGAAGGGGCGTTCAATCGAAACTCGATGGCCCTAGTACCTTTGAACACGAGGCGCCGAGCGTCGGTTCCTGTTTCAATGGGGTCAGACGTCCCATTGTTCGAGCTACGAAATCACAGGTTGACTCCAGGTACGAACTCTCTCCACAGGGGTGGCAAAGCGTTGGGAGGAACATCTGGGTTGCCTGTTGCCAAGCTTCCCATGCCCGGTTGCCTTTCCAAGACCAGGCTACAAAATTGGTTGACCTGGCGCCATGTAGTCTAAAATTGGTGTAACATCCTTTGTAAAACCTTCCGGCGCGCTTGGAAGCCTATACTTCATGGGCCGTCCAGACTTGAGCGGGATGGATGTGGGTCACTTCACCTCGAGCCCCGCAGCCGAACGTCGCCTCGACCAGCCGTGGAGGCTGTGCAGAAAGAGGCCGTTTCCGCCGTGGTCGGAGCGAGTGGAGTGGAAGATTCACCATGGTTGCCATTGGTCCGAACGGACCAGGTGAGTCGACCCGTGAGTTCGCTACGCGAACATGGGTACCGGACATGGTAGATGGTAGAAGCCTGGACCGGACATCAAGTACCTTAGAACATGGGACATGATATGACATGATCCTACAAAATACGGTACTAGAAGTACCCATTTTCCCATACTTTGAATCTGCAGGTGAAAGTAACCGTTTCTTTTGTTCGGGTCACGTCTGTCATGTTATGTCCCATGTTCGTTCGAGTACGACGGAAGTCGGGTTCAGGTAGGAAGACTCTGCAGGGGTTTTCAGTCGATTTGTCGTTGGCACTCTTGGAACCCTTTTTTGGACACTTGGAGCTGCAGTGGATCCTATGGACATGTGTGTTTGTCTGCATCCGAGACCGTTGTGGACCACTCAAAATCTGTAGGTCACCTCTCTTGAAACGGTCAATTATTGTTCAAATATAATGTGTTATAACTACTTCATAAAAAAATGATCTATAGGTCGTGGAGAATGGTTAGTGGATGTAACATTGGGTTTTTTGATGTCTTGTCGTTCGTCGCGACCCAAATTTCGGAGGGCAAAGCTTTTCAAGGACCCTCCCCAAAGAAGACGCTAAGCACAAGAACATCTCACCTTCAAAGTATCTTAAATTACAGAAGTTTAACAAGGCACCTTACTACTAGTAGCAAGAAGCCAAAAGTAGCTCCTGGCATTACTACCACTAGCAAATAGCTACTAGTAGCGTCCTTGCTGCTACTAGTCTATCTAAAAACACACGTGATTCGATCCCACCCCTTTCCACCCAACCATCTTCACGCTGGCCAGGTCACCTTGACTCCCGAGCAGCTGCAAATCCTGCAGGCGAATGACTCGAGTCCAGGCAATTGACCCAGGTGACCTAGCGGTCCGACCTCGGAAACTAGGACCAACCAGTGAACCAGATAGTGAACCCATTGAAAACGTTCCACGAGCAAGTATAGCATCTTCCTGGACCCGACTTCAAGTACCTTCCACGTCGAACATCAAAAGACCGAGCGAACATGGTGTGCTGAGGTTGGCCGCGGCGCTGCGGCCTAGCAGCGATTTGACATTTCATGGTTCTTGTCATTGTCCCAGTCCCAAGCAATGTCTCAATTGAGATCCTTGTTCCTACCATTCGAGAAATACCTCGATCCTGCGCGTACCTCAATTTTGGATAATTGTGAGGTTCTTAGTCCTGCTTCCAAACGCTGGCTTTGTCTCCCACAGGTTGCCTTTGTCTCAGGTGGGGAAATTGCCCTGCCCGCCATGCCAGCCAATCACACCAAGCCATGAAGCCGCTGCCCGATCACCTGTGCAATAGAGGTATCATGGGTTGATGAATAAAGACCCGAGGCACATACCACCTAATACAGACTCTTGATTAATAAACCCACCCCATTTGGATGAACGGACTTGCGGACTGTCAGATCTGACGCGCCTCCACGCTTCCCCTTGCTATATTGTATAGCGGGTGAAGGTGGATGTGAGGGGTGAGACATACTACCTGATGACACGTGAAAAGACCGAGGTAAAAGAGACTGTACACTTCGAAAGCAACTAGAGGCGGTAATGAACAAAGTGCCTGGATCGGTAGGTGTCTCAAAGGTCTTTGCGAGTGCAAAATGAATTGGCAGGCAAAATTTACCTAATTGGGGCCCGGATGTGCAACCAAGTCGAAACTTTTCTTCCTAAACAAGTAGTACCTGATATGTTGCGTGAACTTTTCCCGTTTGCTCATTGGAATCTCTGGCCAATTTGGCCACGGTGGTCGATCGTCGCGGGAAATTATTGGGAGTGGGAGAATTTCGTTATGAAACGGCGGGTTGTGCGGAATTGTCAAGACCAGATCTTTCAAATACTGGTATCTAGATGTTCCTTGCTGTTTGTAGGCCGGAACAATCTTGCATCTGGAAAATGTCTGTAGATGTTTGAGGATCAGGCGAAAAGTCTCCGCTAGGACCCGCACCGATTTGAGTTTCACAGGCTGAAGGCTTGTTTTTGGATCATCGTATTCTAGTATTTCTTGAGAAGCTTTATTGGCTACTCGGATGGGTAACGAGCGTCCTGCCCATAGCATAAACGATACTGCCAATTCCGTCCAAGATATTCCCGGATCTTTAGGAACTGGTGCTGCATTTTCTGCGGGCCACTTTAGCAAGGAGCAAAATGTCCAAACAAGTCGCGCATAATTGCAACCCCAAGGGCAAGACCAGAATACAACTCTATGTGGTTCTGCTGGCAAGACAAACAAATTAGTAGCTAAAGCCCAATCGCGGAGTTCAGCAAGCTTGAACGAAAATGATGGTGTCAGAATTGTCGATTGCTGGCCTTCTGCCGTTTGCTGATCGTCAGCATTCATGCTCTTTTTGTTCTCGGTGGCAATTTCATCTAAGGTGGTCATACGTTCACAAGACAGGTCAAGAATATATTTATATATTTCATAAATATGTTGTCGCTGATTCTGGTAGTGCGCGCGTAGGCGCTCACATTGTTGTAGGAACTCAGGTAGGTCTGCAGCGCATGTTCGCACTGCGGCCTCATCTGCAAAAACATTGCCTAGAATATGGTACTCCTCCTCACTGGAATGTGCGTCTTCAAGTTTCTGGTGTGACCGAATCTTGAATACGTGGAACCTATGGCATATCCATACTTTACACAGTTGTGTAATTAGGTCCCAGTGATCTCTTTTATGGGGGGATTCCAGAATAGTACCCTCTTCAATATGGGATATCACATTAACTACGAATTGTGAGTCCGTGAAAAAGGAAACCTGTGAGGTGTCTGCACGAACTTGTGGAGGATCCACGACGCGCGCCCACTCACCCGCTTGCCAGGTATTCTGGCGGTGTGACACCCACCCCATTTGGATTGAAGAGGTTCTTCCTCATACTGGTACGGGGGCATATTAGTCAAGAGTCTACATTAAGTAGCCGGAAGTCCAAAAGAACAGTCGATTCAAGACCCATCCCACGTCATCCCGCATTTCTCCATCTGAAGCCGTGCTGAGAATGTGGGAGTCTTTGAGGTGAGGGTGAGAGAGATGTGGAGATAGTAGAGGGATCATGTAGACTCTTGATGAATAAAACCCTTCCATCTGGCTGTTGAAACCTTTTTGTATAGTTATTTTGGTAAAATCATGTATAATCAAGAGTCGACATTGGGGATGGAAAGGGCATCTTCCAACACAGGGAGGCTGGAGGCTCATGCTTGACTGGACACTGTGAATACTCCTGCATGTCACCATGCACAATTGGCCAGCTTGGCCATTGCCCTTCTTGTTTTCTTTAGTAATATATACATATCAGCTTTTCTCTACATATCTCATATGGTGCTCCCTTGGATGTGCTACTATTGCACCACATGTACTGCCATGCCCCGGTCATTCGCGCACGCCCCGCTTCGCTCTTCGACCGACGTCCAACTCTTGGGTCCCGACCGGTGACCGCTGCCACCGGTCAGGTCGAAGCCGAAGCCGCTGGGTCTGAAGCGACAGCGGCCGAAGCAGCGACAGCGGCCGAAGCAGCTCGGTGCACTCGGTGGAGCGGTCATGCGGATCTATCCGCCGTAGAGGGTCAGATGTCACTCAGGAGTGGCACAGTCACGTGAAAAGCGTAAAGCACTTAAGCACCAGGAGGTTTCCCCGCAAGTGGACCCACCATCCAACCTTCAGCTCCTGGTGATTCCTTTACGGTTTCGTGGACTCCCTGCAGACGGGAGAACGGTTTTTGTTCTCCCCCAGACCCCACCATCGACCCCAGACCGGGTGATGGGTCAGCATGGCGGTCCAGCAGTCGAATGCTCCTTTGGAGTGGATTCCAAACCTCGGAGTCAGCTGGGCTGAAGACCTTAATTACTAGCTTACTTACTACAAACTGATAAAAGTTGTAAAGACGTAATAATATAAATAAATAGAAGCAGCATCCATCCAGCTGTTGTTGCAAATTTTGAGATGTTGCTTCGAGACTCATGCACGTGATCCTAACTCTCGCTTTCATTATGTTTCTCAGGGTGACTATTGTCCATCCTTTGATCATTAACTTTATCTCTAGCCTTTTTGCGTGACTCTGTGAGTTGCTTGGTCACCTTGCTTGCATTCTGCTCGAAACTCCTTGGACATAGTGGAGCTGGTGCCAAGTTCAAAACCCATCCTGCCGATGAACCCATGTTTTTGGACCTTCAGACCCATAGATTATTTTCCCACAGGTTGAACTGGGGGGTCTCCCTATTTAAATGCACACCCAGATGAACCCTGAACACCACCCTTGGCCCAGCTGACGGAGGAGGCAGAGGATGCCACCGAGTGGATGCGCTTGGAAGCCGCCAGAATAGAGGTACGTTCCTTTCGCTCGAGCAGAGGGCTTTTGGGATCGAAGTGCATGGAGAAGGGCAAAATGGGATCCCATCGACCCCAGACCGGGTGGGTCAAAGAGGATCACTTGAGATAAGGTCGACCTATATCCCGTACGGGCTTTGGGATCGTACCTTCGAAGACGGGACTGGGGTGGGTGCCAGGGTCCAAAGACCTTCTGAGGAGTTACTTGGAGCCCTAGGATATATGTCTTTACTAACTAACCAACCACTTCATCCACTTAGGATGTGATATACCTCAGACGCCCAAAGTTGGAACTTGATGGAAGGATCGCAGGGAAGTTGGCCCGGTATGGCCCGGTAGCGTCCACTTCCATGATTGGAGGGTCGTTTTGAAGGCACTTCCAGCGGGTTCTTGAGGTGAAAGGACTTCCGTTAGGATGGGTGGAACTGGAGCTAAGGTGGTCCATTTACTGGAGCTCAGGAGGTACCTGGACCCATCTCGGGTCGAAAGCAACATGCTGAACATGGAGGGTAACTTCTACCTGTTGGTTTTGAGTGGGGAAGCCAATTCCCCAAAAACGGTTTAAGGTTATCCAGTTATCCATGGTTATCCACAGACTGGCTATGGAAATGCGCTGTGACAACACCGCGGGCTGTTGTGGCTCTACCATCCGAAATGCTCTCGACTGTTTGTCCAAATAGTGTCTCCCTGGAGTCTCAGTTCATCTCAGTTCATTGAAAATGGGTAGAGTCTACCTGTTTATGTTTTTGATGGGGTCATGTCACGTCCCATTTCTCTAAGGCCCGGGCAAAAATGTGCTGTAAATTGATGCAACATGTTGGCGCAAGGGTTTGGGTTGGTTTGTCAGGTTGACCCCCATCCTCAATTTTGCTGGTCAGAAACGTCGCCGCAGGCGGATGCGTTGAAGGCCTTGAGGTTGCAGGAGGCGTCTGCACGTTCCAACGCCGATAAGGTGGAGGCCCGCGTGGACTCATGTTTGTCCAGGGCCGGGCGCGTGTGACACGAACTGCCCCGAAAAGAGGTGATTCGCACCCAACTCCTGCGGGTATTGGTTAGGATCTGATACAAAAACAATCCATGTGTATGGACCATATGGAATAGTTTTTCTATGTGTCTCTATGTTTTAAACCTGGACCCTCCAGTTTGTTCCCTAGCAAATAATAGGGCCCTATTGAAAACAGAAAGGGACGCTGTCAGGTCCCCCAAAAATACACGGTTCTGGAAATACACGTTTTGGGAATACATTGAATTATAAACATGCATTGTTTTATTTTTATATACAGCAGCTGATAGTAATGTTAGCAGTTTTTTGGGGGGAGCTGATCGAAGCAAAGTGTACAAAAGTAGAAGCTGGATCGGTCCCCAAAAAAAACGCAAGGGACGCTGTCTCTCTAAGAAAAATCAAACTTATCCAATTAAAAAAATCATCCATAAGGTGCAGCAAACTGCTGGGAGGGGGGTCGACAAAAAACACATTGGTTGACCCCCCCTCCAGACTGGGAGCCTGTGGAAAAGGCTGGGAGGGAGGGTTGACCAAAAACAAAAATATAATGGGTCGACCCCCTCCTCCAGATTAGGAGCCTTTGGCAAAGTTTTGGTTTATGTTTCAACGTTCGTTTCACATTTTGTTGGAATGTATAGCACCTACTTTAAAATGAAGCATGCTGGTATTACAGTATAGTGTGTTAAGGGATGAAGATGAAAAGAACCCAAGGGAGTGGCTTTTATTAAGAAGATTGGAGGCTGGAGAGTGAGCAAGTATGTGGATATTAAATAAACTAATGAACTGTGCCAAGTTGTAGAGGATCAAGCTGTAGAAATACCAACATCTAAAGATAGATAAATTCAATATGATGAGTATGATACTGATACTGATGATATTGTTAGGAAAATTGAGACGGTGAATCAGGAAATGATTAGGATGTTACTTGCAGGAGCAAGCAAAAGTCATATCTGCCAGACAATGGTAGATGTTTGGTATAAGTTTTTGCGGCTGAGTGTTTATTGAAGGCCAAATAGTTTGTTGAGCAATATGTTTTTGCAACATGTGATACCAGACAACTAGAATCAATGCCAAAGAATATGAAACAATATGCTGATGCAATGATTGACAATATGTTTGAGCACAAAGTGTTACTGAAAGTATAGAAAAGACTGAACACAGAAGAGGATGAACAAACGCTAAACAATAATCAAGAACTATGTACTTGTAAACTCCCAAAACTCAACTAATTGATAAATACTTTAGATATACTAATGATATTACATCGTCAACTTATATTTGAATAAGACCTATAAACAATCATATAAATCATATGTTTGTGTTCAAAAAAACGCTAAACACCACGTATTTTGGGGGGCCTGGTGGCGTCCCACTCTCATTGAAAAGAGGTACTTGTACTCATATTCTGAGCTAGCTGATCAATCTTCGTGGCACTTGGACAGCTGTTGTTTCACTCCAGAAGTCTTGCAGCTCATCTCGCACTCCAAATGAAAAGTTCAGGTGGAAAAAGACTCCCGAACGCCTTTCTGGTCGCCTTTCTGGGTTCGTTCCGCGATATATGGCGTCCACGGCGAGATTGCCAGTGGTGTGTCAGGACGGCTCTCCGTCGTTGGAAGAAGCCACACGGATGAGGATTGAAGCTGAAGAGATTGAGGTCTTCCGTCTTCCCTTTTTTTTTCAGGGAATTTTGCATTGTCTGTCTAGAGCTGGGCTTATTCATCTTCTGAGCTAGGTTTTTGGCTACCGGCTACCTCACAAGGTGCAACCGCGGGTATCATTTGCAAACCATTCACAACGTATTCTGGGCAGCACCTCAGAAGTGATCAAGAAGCATAAGAAGATCCTCAACGTAGATTGTTCACCATAGCCATGAGTGGTTTTGGTTTCCTGTTTACGCATTCGATGGTCGAACTACTGACAATCTGGAGTCGACCTGTACTTCAGAAAGTGGGGTATATTTTTGGTTTGTCCTAGTACCAGTAACAGTCCCTAAACAATGATCATATTCTCACTATTTTAGAGAAATGCCTTTACTAACCATCATGATGCAATGATGGATATACCCAATGTATATTACTCTTTGTTTCTTCTTCGGGTCATGTCCCCTATTCTTCTTCGGCTACGAGTCACAACGGGGGCGTTACCACATTCCTCACTGAGTCGTCTCCCACGTAGTGACCGACACGTGGTGTCTTCTGAGCGCCAACCAGCTATAGCCTGCGTCTTGTGTGTCGGCATTACTTCTGTACGTTTGTAACGGTTCTTTTTATACTGGTTCTTACAACTTCCAAGTGTCCGTTTCATCCCCGGGTTTGAGGTCACTTGGACCTGTAAAAGGTCACTTAGGGACTCCAAACAGATGACTTTGAAGAAGCTGGTGTATCAGTATATTTACTTGCTTACTTGCTTACTTACTTACTAGCTTCTGTTGAGTGGTGATGCCACTTCTGTTGCTCCCAATGTCAACATCTATAAATTTTGGTCAATCTTTCAGAAGCTCTCCACGGCGGTGGGTCTGGCAGGGTTCGTGCCAGGCAGAAATCAAGAGATCGGTGGAGCAACAAGGGCGATATGAGGACTTCGAGGCACGAGGAGTTTCGCTGGGCTTGGGTCATACTAGCAAGCAAGCGGCCTGGATGATGATACTTAGTCCAGTATGTAGGTATGTGGGCGCCACCACCATTGAAAAACAACTTGTTTGGAACATGTGTAAATCACATTATATTATGATACTATATATAGTAGTAGGTAGCTCAGATCAGATCCAAAATTATGTAAGAAGGGACCGCCATCACTGAACTTGTTGTGTGGTATTCTCAACAAATTGCTGCAGATTCTCCATATCATTACGCGCCTGGAATCCCAAAGGGTACAGGTGAAAATCAGGGCAACCGCACCTATTTGTATGGGGTTGTGTCCTATGTTCCAGCGTATGTTGAAAGGGGTGGACTGAATTCATGTGTATGCCTCTTACTCCCAAACTTCATCCATATCCATCGCAAGCTTGTGATCTTCTCGCGACCCCGGCACTCCTATTCCATGGTTGATGGTTGCTGTTTGCTGTTTCGAGTGTCAATCGCTTGGCTCGACCTGAACCACAGCTTCGGTCGGTCAGCCGGTCATTCCCATCTTTCGGAGGTAGCTGGGCGGTTCCGCCCAGGTCTCCCGGTCAGGTGGAGCACGAGACTTGACATCCTCCAAAGTGGAATGCGGTGGATGGCATGGCATAGAAAGGCTGAAACCGAGGTTACCAACCCCAGTGAAGCTGCCAGGCAGAGCTGGTGGACCCTGTGCTGGAAGCTCACTTTGCAGCTGTGCGACAAAGTGAAGCGGAACGCATGGAGGCACTCTGACATGGGTCGGTCGGACATCAAGAATACCCTGCTGAACACTGACATATGGGCCCTGAAAACCACTGGTGTCACTGGTGCAGCTGGAGGACAAGCTGTATTTTTTGAGGGTGTCATTATCAGGCCATGTTAGTTTGCAGCGTAGATCAAGTCATCTCACGACCCATTTTCTACGTCCTTTTGGGCATGTGTTCTGACATTTGTCCTGCTGTGAAGTCTGACATGAGTTCTGAGATATTTTTCGGCATGTATTTCTGACATGACACGTGCACTCACATCAAAAGGATCCATGTTTTGAAATGTTGTGACATATGGTCCGACTTCGGCTCTGATATGCTTTCTGACCGCTGTTCAATCTGAAGCAGCCAGAAGTCACTACAGCCATTCTATCCGTTAGACATCTTTCATATGGTAAGGCCAGAATCCTTGATTAATAAAAACCGTCAACAAATGTCAAATAGAAAAAAGTCTCAAAAAGTCAACGTCAAAAAATTGTCAAATGGACAAGTCAAATACGTCGAAAAAAATCAACAAAAAGTTATATAACACAAGTCAAACATACCAGGACCCTCCTGTCGGGGTGCTCTGTCTGGAAGCCTAGGCCGGTAGTGTGGGGTAGTCCAGCCAGGACACTCCGGAGTCGGACACAGAACGTGTAGTTGTGTGCATTTGCAAGCATGAGAGTCTCCCAAGCCACAAAAACCCGATAACAACCTACATGTTTTATGTCATTCTTTGTCATCTATGCATGGAGCCTGACTGGGTGCCCTACAAAACCCATGGGTTTTGCATTGAAATCTACTTATTGTTTCTAACTAGAGGGGCGTCGTTTCGTGAGTGTTATTTGCAGAAAACTGTAAACACCTATATAGGAAATGCAACGCAAAACTCGCGGGTTTGCTAGCGGCCTTTTTCACATAGTCTCGTACTTCGAACCTGTGTGCATGAAACGCCACTGCCAAGAACGAAACTAGCCCGCCCCCCAAAACCACCCCCCGAAGCTCCCGTAGTATCATCTGTCGTCACATCAACAACTCATCACCATTGTGTTCTACTGATCACACGAACGAAACCAGTCCCCCTCAAACCCCCCCGAACCTCCCCGAACCTCCCGTAGTATCTTCTGTCGTCACACCAACAACTCATGAACAGTTCATCATCATAAAATGAGATGCATGGGCACCGGGTCGGAAAAGTGCAATATGTATCGATTGTGAAAATTAGCACGACTACACGTTTGGTTCCGACCCGGAGGCAAAAAACAAGTCAAATACAAGCCAAACAAAGTCATAAAATTACAAAAAACAAACAAGTCAAACAAAATACATAAAACAAACACACAATCAACATCAATCAACAGTATAAAACAACTCGAACAAGTCAAACACACATGTCAAATAATAGCAAGAAAACACAAGTTAAAAAAGTCAACAGTTAAAAACATCTCGAAAAAATCAAATCATTTACACAAAAAAACACAAATAAAAATCAAAATCAACAGCAAGTCAAAAATGTCAAACTTAGAAACAATCTTTAATTAGTTTAATTCAGAAAAGGCTCCGGGAGAATTAAATCGGATCTGAGCCAATTGACTCTTTGTTTGACTTTGAGAAACTGTTTGATTTGACCCTTTTTTGACTTTGACTTTTGGGATTGACTACTAAGTTGACCTTTTTTGACTTGTTCAAAAGCAACGAACACAGATTATTGCTAGTACAATCCCTGTGGATCCACATAGACTGTAGCTCTTCAATGATGTAGGCTTGGAGGGTCCAATCACCTTCAGGGACGATCCCAACGCTAGAGACCAGTATTGTTCTTTACAACAGGCGAGCTGCCCCCAGAGGTCGAGGCACCAAAAACTGCACTTTCCATGTTTCAGCCCTCCAGCCAGCAGCTAATTCTGGATGGGACGTTTCCTTTTGTAGTTTATGGTGTCATGATGCAAGAAACGTCCATGGTCGCAGAAGCTACCGTTTTGCCTTCAGCGAACTTCCAGCCGACTCGGACTCAGCCGCTCTGCTCCGCTCCCCTCCAGGCGCTCCATGCCTTAGAAGCATCACGCGCGGCTGTCCGGAAGGCTGAGCGCCATCAAGCCGAGGCGCGTTCTTGACGATCCGTTTTCCCCAAACACCAATGGCATTGGCCAATTGACCAAGATTTGGGATGTGATGGGGAGAGAACAGACACTATGTATCACTATGTATGGAACATACATACATTGATAAGCCTCAGTCAACCTCGCCCTGTCAGTTCGGTCAAAGCCTCGGTCGTCCTATCAGTTCGGTCTCAGGTGGACATGGCCGAGCAGGCCCGACGCGAGGCTCAAGAGGCGGCGAGGTTCCAAGAAGAACAGGCGATGGGACCGGCACCGTGCGAAGCAAATGGAGGCGATGGTTTTTGGGGTTCCAAAAGAGAGAGAGAGAGAGAGACCTAGAGGGCTCTTAAGACAAGCGCATTTGTCATCCCAAGCTTGCCGGTAGACATTGTGCCAACACACATACTTGGAGTGTGGAGGTACTATATTTAGAGACGCTTGGAGAATTTAGGACAACAATTGGTTGACTGGGGGCGATATGTCCATTTGCGCTGGTTCTGAGCCTCCGGAGAAGCAATAAACAAGAGCTTGAAAGAAAGGAGCTTCCAGAACATCTGGGGCAAATGTGTCGAGTTCCACGGGGAGAACAAGACGTCCAGCTCAACAAGCTCAACTTGTGTCACCCTAGGGATCCACTGTCACCTTCTCAGAAGGTACTTGGACCCTCACTTTGCCTTTGCCTACATGAAAGACTCGAGCACATCACCTTCTCAGAGGGTGGCAATGGATCCATAGGGTCAGGATTCCTCCCACAACTACATACAACTAGCGTGTTTTCCAATGCTTGCGGATGGGTTTGTTGAAAAGGGTGATCCACCTTGGGCCACCCGTTGCTTCCTTCAGGAAAGCTCATCCAGCTTGTTCACGAACAAGCTCCTCCAGCTTCCTTTTGGTCACCTGGTAAAGGATGTAAAGGTACAGTGACTCAGGTGAAAAGTCCTCGCACTTCATGACTGTCGACACGATGTAGCTGGAGTCCCTGGAGTCTCAGTTTGTACCTCGGAAACTGCGTACAGTCGTACCTGGTTCTTTAATAGGGTCATGATGGTCATGCTGCATCATGCTAGGAAACAAGCGAAGTTGGGTCCAAGTACTTGAGTCGTTTCCTGATACTCACACTACTATAGTGCCAGTGCGGAGCACCATTCCTGGAGGCCAAGCTCCAGCGCCAGCACGACGCACAGCGTCAAGCGGAGGAGCAAACGGCCTTGGAGCGACGTGAGGCGGCTTTGGAAGAAGCTGGATCTGACTGGTGGGTTTGAATGGAGGTTAGCGAGGTTAGGGATGCCCACAAGATCTACTGGATGGGACGAGCACCCAGGCCCTCCATGTGACCCCCATCCTAGCACTGTCTATCGCCATCGTGGGGAGCAATCGAGCAGTCCTGTATTTCCACCACTTTCTATATGAGGTGAACTGGCCAGGCTCAGTTGGTACCACAATGCGTCGTGGGTCATGACCCAGTTCGGCCCCATTTGATGTGCTTATGTCAATAAGGTCCCTGTTTGACACAATGGTTCACACATGTGACGTGTTTGCAACGAACATTCTACACTCAGCTACAAGATAGAACCTTCGCACACCGGACCGATGCCACAAGACACCAGCGCAGTCTTGACCAGAGCAGCGCAGCAGCGGTGTGTGTTTCTTTCGTGTGGTTTGATTCGGTTCTGACGTGCAACATGCATGCAGTATCAATATGTATCAATCTAAAATGTTGTAGCTGAATCAAGCCAAGCACCTGGAACTTCCTCAGAGTGTGTGTGTGTGTTTAAAAAGAAAAAAACATCTGCAGCGTGAAACACATCCTTTGGAGTCACAGCCTATCACAGCCTTACATTTTGAGTCTGCGCATGATTCTCTTGATTTCTGATCCTTGTTTCTGATATTCCATGTTTGTCAGTGTGATTCACAGACCTAAATAAGGTATGTTGAACTACCGACCAAACAAAGCAACCACGAGGTTGCAGGTCTACACGATATATAATAAGAATCTACGCTTCATCCACACGCTTTCTTTTGCGGGCCTGAGACCAACATGTACTCAACGTTTCAACCAGTAGCTCTGTAAAACGCTCACGCTCGCCGTTTGCAGTGCAGATGTTGACCAGGACCAAAGGAGGCCCAACCTCAGCCTTTGGATAAATCAAATTCATTACGAAAGCCGGCCTTCGTAGAAGGCGCCAGCTGAGTTGTGCTTAGGTAGGGGCTTTGGGGGGGTGGCCCGAGAAAGGTACACGTAAACTCGGCATATGCTGGGGGAGGAGGGTGCGCGGAAGGATTTTGAGGTTGTGTTGGAGTTGATTTTTGAGGGGTGGTGATGCAAGAAATGCAATTTGCATCATCTGACTGGTAAGGTGTAGTTGGGACCTTGCCAGGTATAGATACCCAGGGTAGGTGCAGTTACCAGGTATAGTACTTCAAGTTCCCTTTCCATCAACCGCTCGATAACCTTTACACACGCACAGCAGCCCGCAGCTTTGAAGTCTCATGCGCGCGACACCTGGCAACTGAATTGTAGCTACCCTGGGTACAGTATTTACACGGACCCAGGGTAGCTACAATTCTGTTGCCAGGTATCCCACTTCAATTTCCCTGTCCTGGGTCCGCGCGCGCGCGCCTTGCTGGCTCCCGGCTGCCCGTGATTTAGGCGCGCGCGCGCGCGCGGACCCAGGGCAGTTACAAGGCAGTTGCCAGATATACCCAGGGTAGCTACAATTCAGTTGCCAAGTAAAGCACTGCAAGCAGCCAAAGACCATTGCATTGCTTAAAATCACAAAAAAGCACCTCCAACCTACACGCCACCTACTTTCGAGTGTGCTTTCTCAGGCCACCCCCCCGAACCCCCCTTCTTACTCAGCTGGCGCCTTAGCCAGGTATACCTCTTACACACCTATATAAGTTCAATGCAAGAATGAGACTTCAAAGCTGTGGATTGCTGTGCGTGTGTAAAGGTTATCGAGCGGTTGACGGAAAGGGAACTTGAAGTACTATACCTGGTAACTGAATTGTAGCTACCCAGGGTATCTATACCTGCGCCAGCTGAGTAAGAAGGGGGTTTCGGGGGGGTGTGGCCTCAGAAAGCACATTCGAAAGTAAAAACGCTGGCTTTCGTTTTGCAGTTTCTCAGGTGTAAATATCTTCATGGTGCTGTCCTAGTGGAGACCCCCAGTAACCCCGTCGTACATACCTTATCGGTGTTGCCCTGGTTCCATGGATCTTCTTGAGTGAAACCAAAGGATCCAATTTAAGCGGTACGCGCCGTACGCGTGCGAGTATGCGTGCCTATGCGTATATGCGTGCCTATGCGTGCCTTCAGCTGGAAGGACGGTCTTGAATGTCTGAAGGGTGTGGACGGTCCGTTCGTTTGTTTTGGGTGTCGCGAGCTCTCTACAGTGGTTTCAGAGGTGAGAATCGGCACTGGCACCCCAAGAGGTCTGGAATACATGGGGGTCCATATAAACCACCGAACTTGGGGGCCCTTGTATGGGAGTGTGCCATCTACTGTGAAACCACTGTACATGTCCGGGCCACTGAGCCAGGCACTCCATGCCTTGGATGTGACTCGCCAAGTGGGCCGGCAGTCCGATGCGGACGCCAAGGTTGGGGTTGTCCCGGAAGTCGGTGGGTCAGGACTGCGGATGGGTATCGTGCGATGTGAACAGATGGGTTCGGCTCGGTTAGATTCCAAGCTGGAGGGAGTCAGCAGCAGGCCAGTTTGGAGAACCAAATTCAGATGGCCTGCCCAAACGCAGGTCTAATATTGTCAAAAACTGAACAAGGGTGTCAATAGGTATGGGGTTCATTCTTGTTCAAACCTCGATGCAAGACTGTATATGTCATATACATGTAAACAATGTTAACATGATAGGACTGGCCACATCTTAAAACATGTTAACATTTCAAAGAGGGTGGCCAGTCCTTTCTTCAAGATGGGCGCCCTTCAGTGGGTTCTTTGGAAGCATCACGACCGATCGCTCTCGCATTCGTAGTCCCCAGCCCATCAACCAACCAACGAACCAACCACAACCAACCAGGTGTACCACGCCAGGAGTGCCCACTCCCCACAGCTATGCAGGCCTAGAGGTATTGTATGATTGGTAGGAAGCTTTCTCACATGCTGGTTTTGACAAAGGTGGTGGGGTTTAGACACAATTGCGAAGAATAGCAACTTTAGCATGCTTGTGAAGAATATTACTTTGGCATTCCTTTTTCAAGGGAGGTAGGTAGCCAGGTAACCCACAGATCATGGATGGATTCGAGCATTTTTTACAGCTTAAGCTGGTACACTGGTAGACTTCGTTTTCGATCGTTTGAGCTGTCAGGCCGTTTTCGATTGTTTGGGCTATGCTGTGCAGGTTGAGAAGGTGAGGTGGATACATTGACCGGGTTTTGCTCAAGGTTATGTTTTATTTTCCCTATGGGTAAATCATGGAAGATCCTCCCTGGGAAATATTTGCTTCCCGGCTCCTGGACAGCAAATCCAAGTTGACGAAACTGCCCCAATGGGTTCCCGTTCGGGAACCGGCCGGTTCGCCTGACTCGGTTGACCTGTTCGTTTGGGATTCAGCCCATTAAAGTGAATGGTGTACGTATAAATATGCCAGTCCCATGCCCTAGGGATCCACTGCCACCTTCTCAGGTTCGGTACGACTAGGCCCTCTCCTGGCACCTACATCAACAGTCTCCTTCTTGGTACGACTGGATCCCTAGAGATGGAGCGTACGATCTCAGCGACGAGAGGCAAAGTGGGAGAAGATGAAAGCTCAAGCAGCTGAGGCGGAACGCGAGGTCAAGGAGGCGCGACGACGACGAAGAGAAAGCAACGCCGTTTCTGTGCCAGAGACAAGAGACCATGCTGCCTCTAAGAAAAAGCGCAACATGAGAGTACCTGGACCCGACTTCAAGTACCTTCAAAACATGGGAGGTGACCCCCAAAGAACAGGTACTTGTACAACATGTTCCAAGGTATGAGCCTGAGGCTCCAGGTATGTCAGATCACGGATTGTATTCCCAAAAGTTTGTGAATTTAGGCACTGAAATGAAACGGGTTGCAGGACCTACTTTAAAGTTGTTCTTACCCTGCGAACGGTCTTTTGGTCCAGTTTGGGTGAACTCAAAGGTGTAGCTCTTGAAATACCGTGTCGATCGTAGGGTTGTTTTCAGCAGATATCCTCGCGGACTTGTTGGTGGGATTTTGCTTGTTAATATACAACATTATATCAACTAATTCTGCAAAGCTGGTGGGATGTGTTCACTTGCGCTTTGCTTTTAATTACCTGAACATGGCGAGAGGGACACATAGTGCAGCCGTTTCTGCCGCACGTGTGTCACACCCGCAGGCTGCAGATCAGTGGAACCGGCAAGCTGAGAAGGTGCGCAGATCTAACCCTAGGGCCCAGGGCCGAGGGTGGGCCTACCTCCGTTTGGGTTCCGTTGGGGTGGGTGCCATGGGGTTCTAACTGCTTTCTGAGGATGTGGACCAGGAGTGACAGGGTCCTTGTTACTAGTAGCTTCTTGTTACTAGCACAATGGCCTCCACCTAGCGTCCTTGCTACTAGTAGCAAATAGCTACTTGTTTCAGGTCGTCAGTACGGTTCTTTGTCACGAATCGCAGTGTCCGCTTGACAATGTCTTTTCCTGATGGAACTGTGCAGCTTTAGTGTCTACAACCCTGGACCACACATTTATTTCCCCAAAACGTGTCAAAATGACATGTTTGATCGGTCTTATGAATATAACCCGGTCTTATGCATCAAGCAAGGAACGTTCCCAGAGATTCAGAAAACGCTTGCCGCCGCTTGGAATTCCGGTGTTTAAATTGGATAATATGCTACCTTGTTGCGCCAGCATGGTGCTAATTGTGCTAGGTCGCTGCTGCAGATTCGTGTGCCTATGTGGGTAGCATGAGTACGTACATTAGAGTTGACACCCGCCCAGTGCAAAATGTGAATGCGTGCTACGTCGCTGCTTACAACGTTCGCACACAGGCCCAAGAGGATGCTGTTTTCCAAAAGCTAATCCCAGTGCATCCCAATTACCATTATATAAGGAACCAGGGGTTCTAGGTCTTTGGAACCACTGGTTACCAGCTATAGTGGTTTGCCTGGATGCCCTGGGAATGTGTAGAAACAGATCACCTTTTCACTTCAGCAAGCCGCGTGAGCTCTTGATCACAGCCACTTGGCGGCGCTGGTGGAGGAGTGAGTACTCCTCCGGACGAGCATACTCTCCAGTCGAGCTGAAACAGTTGACCATTAAAACTCATCCCAGCTGCAAGTCATAGCAATTCCAATCAGTGGTTGTCGTGCAAACAACAGGTGTTCATGTATAATCTGTATATATAATGTTGTATTACAGTATATAGTATATGGTTGTGTGTTGCGCACGCCCCTTTCTAACTAGCAGCCTTCTTGCATACAGTGTCAAACTGTCCCAAATATTTTCAAACTAGTGCAGTGCATGCATGTGAGTAGTGTATGTCTGGTCCCTGGAAAGCATTTGGGCAAGTGGTCTAACGCGGATCTAGCGCGGGTATTCCATGGTGGCAACATCGCGAGGAAAACACAAATAATGAAGACATGGCCAACCAGACTCCAAGATGCCGACATCGCCTTTCACCTGCAAGATGCTGACATCGCGGTGAGCTTCGAAGGCAAGGTGGTCACCCTGGTTGAGGTCGTTGTGGAGAAGAGGAAACAGATGCCCCAATGCAATTCGACGCCCCCAAGCCAGGAGCGCTGGAGTTCCATTTGGACTTGAACTTCTATTTGCCACACCCGACCATGGAGCGCCCACCAAGGCCACCGACCGTGGAGCGCCGATCTCAATGAACCACTTGGGGGAACCCCCACGCGTCGTCAAGTCATTCGGGCCCTCCAGTGGACAGCCAGCTTCAACGAAGGATTGTCCCCAGTGCGTCCCTTGGTCACCAAGACCGCGCGGGGGTCATTGCATATAGCGCCTGGAATGCCGGAGAGTGACAGCCATTCGGCAGAGGCTGACTCTTGTGCTGCATGTAAGGCACATGTCCGTGTTACACCGTGTTATGTGCATGAGACTCTGAGCTGCGTGGGACATTTGTCAACCCGTTTCTTGAAACATCTTGAAGCTGCCTATCACAAGCCCCCTACATACACTCCATGTACGATATAAAAGAACATGGACCCAGGTCAACCAGGTAAATGGTAGGCCCAGACAGGTGGTGTTTGACATCGTGATGTCCAGCGTGGGCTTCCCGAGGCTCAGGAAGAGGCATTGCGAAAGGCCGAAAAGGCCGACAAGGACAAGGAGGCCCAAGGGGCTGAGGTCGCCGCGAGGGACGAGGCAAAGGATATTTGGTTGTCCGACATGCAGAACGAGGAATCTTCAACTGCTGACACAAACGGTCCAAGCACGTCTAAGCTGGACCTGCAGCAGTCCTGGTGGGGGATCCACGTCCTGATGTGTTCCACACTTGAAGTGCCAGGTGTTTGTTCGTCGTACCGAAGCTGAGAAGGTGGCAATGGATTTTCTGGGGTGAAACCGGTTTTGGACGTCCTGGACAGGGCTGTCCTGTTGACCCTTGGAACTCAACGCATTCGGGCCGCTGTAGGTCGGCTCGGTCCAGATTTGATGGATCCGTCATGATCCGTCAATTTCTGCCGGCATCTTAAGAGGTTGTTGTTATTGGTTTTGGTGGTTAAACACATGTTTCATCAAATCCAGTTCTTACACGTTGTTACCATTGGGAATTGCGATGTTGGATGATCGAGACTACCCAGACCATCCACGTATGGTATACCCCATGACCCCAATGTAGGTAGGATAGGCTAACTCCATCACACCCCTCAACACCCTCACACCTCCGCTCACCTCGGAGCTCCGCGGAGGTGGAGAAGGCTTCGAGGCCTGACCCGGAACGTGCCAAGGATGAGCTGGAACGTGTGCAGGCGCAGTGCCCATTCGATCGGGCGCGCGTGCAGGCGGTTGATGGCTGAATCGACTTAAGGGATACTGAGGTGTTTGTTTGATTGATTGTTGGATTTTGTTTGTTTTTTTGATTTAATTTTGTTTTAATAGCGTTTTGTTTGGTACCTGATCGATGATCCTGATGCTCTGATAGTGGGAGCCACTATCAGGATGCTTGAAGGACTACATGCAATTAGTTCAGATCTTTTGAAGTTTGAAGTGTTTCCCTTTTCTTGCATGAAGGTTTGCAACACCGGGGCTCGCCCGGTCCATGATGGAGAACTTCATCTCTGTTGGACCTGGTGAACCCTACAAGTATCCCATGTCGACTCGAAGGAATTGGTCTTGGACACGAAGAGTAGGGTGATGTCTTCGACACCGGAGGAAGTCGTAAACATGAGAAGATGTTCTTTTTTTCCCAGAGACGACCCATGGGACTGCCATTGATGCTTACATTGACCCCCAAAACCACATGGAGTGTCTGGGATATCTTTGTGTATTCACCCCATCATGAAAAGACACGCGCCTTGGTGTCCACGGCCTGGGCTGAGGCGGAGGCGGACCATCTCCTGGCGGCCGCGCAAAAAGCACAGGCGGGGTCATCGGTGGGGGGCGGAGCTGAGCGCGGGTGGAGCTGGCGGCGGAGCTGTTTCAATCTGGTTTCGATTCATGTAGACCCAAAAGCGGCCTCCGAATTGAGGTCTCACGAATGAACGTCTCCGTTCGCCATTCGGTTTTGAGGTGTCCATGCTATTTACCGGCGGCTCAGTTCGTTTCAGTTCGTACCTCTCCGCCCTTTTGGGTCCTCGAGGACTGGAACCACGCTCTCACGACAGCCAGAGCTGGCACCGTACGACCTGGTGCGGTACGACTGGACCCTATATAGGCGAACAGATCACCTTCATAAAGAGGGTGGCAGTGGATCCTATAGGAACAAGAAACTCTACTGGTGGGGTCCAGATGGTGACTTGCCCGAATAGATGCATGCGTCAATCGCAGAGATTCAGAACCAGGATGGTCGAACTGCTCCATATCAGTAGGGTTGTTCTACCAAAAGGATGATCTTACTTGAATCATTTTTTTATATTTAAGTCTGATCATATAAGTTATCGTGTTTAAGATGATTTAAGTGACATCATCCTCAAAATAGTCATGCAGGCATTGTAGACTCTGTTTGAATAATAAGTTGGACACAGGGCATACATAATGAGATTTGGGAGGTGTCGGTCGGTGTTGCTTTTTGGGGGCGTGTGTGTGATTTGTTTTTTAGTTGTTGCTGTTCCATCGATTGCCTGTTCGTCGAACAACGTTTCCCACTGGGCCAAACATGAGCAGCACCAGGCCCGGGCGGAAGAAGAGGCACAGAAGGCGCAGGAGATGCAGCGTGAAGCGGATCAAGCTGAGGCGAGTAGTGCGCAATGTGCATGTTGGAGCGTAATGTAGACTCTTGATAAAGAAGCCCTTGAAGAGGAATTCGAATTCAAATTGGGGGGTTATTGATCAAGAGTCTACATGACCTGGTAAGGTCTTTTGTGATGCAATATGCTGCTGGAAGCTCACTGGCCTGTTTTTCAGCGAAAACGAGTGAAGTGGCTTCAAGCACCCTGCAGCATGCGAATTGGTTTCCCGCTCCACATCGGTGGGCTTCGTTCGATCCAAATCGATGCTGGCCGATGCTAGCTCCCTACAGCTCGTGGCATTCAGACCTCATGCTACCTTCCTACAGACCACATATGACCCCTGAAAACCACTGGGTGATACTGGTTTGTTTGAGAGTAGTCTTATTCGACGACTCCACAGGAGCCAACGTTAGAAGACCTGCGCCTGAGTAGATACCCGGGCCCCCTAAGATGGCCTCCACCCTAGAAGCGATGGCCTCCGTTAAGGGGTGTCGATGAACCACCCCAAACGGGGGCCCTGGTATAGGCCGTTACTTGTTTTGTTTGGCACGTCATATTCCACTTCAGACCAGAAAGGATCTTCCCGAGATCTTCGACACGTGCGAAACCCGCCCTTTGCCTCGCCTGGATCCGCCAGGCGAAGGCTCGAGCCGCCCAGATGCATGCACTCCAATGCCGGGAGCAGTTGCGTCGTTCACAGAAGGAGGCCGGACGCAGGTCGTCCGATTTCTTCGGTCCGGACGCCGAAGCAGAAGCCGAAGTGCGACCTGCACGGCCTTGGTTCCAACAGTGAACATGGGTTTTCCAGTTTGACCATGGAAGATATAGTGCAAATGAGTGAAACACCACACCTCTTGCCATTTTTGGAAGGTGGTCTGAACGACATAGAGTCATGAACCCATGGATACACCCACAGCTGATGTCTCCATGCATCATGAGACTACTCGAAGATGTTGCCTCTCCTCATACAGTAGTGACCCCTCACCATCATGAAGTTGCCCCCCAATTGAGGTTTGACCCCAAGTCAAGACAGCTACACCACTTGGATGGAAGTGGCTGGCACCATAGGTTTGTACAGAAAAATGGTCCCTTCAGGGCTATGCTATCCACTTCCATTATCTTCCATGATCATCAGGGAGTGTACATACTAGCATAATATATACATACAAAATCATACAAAAAAACTTGTAGCTGGACCCAACTTCGCTCGTACCTTAGACAGGTTTTCAATCTTCTAGGCTAGTATTACCCCTAGGAATCTGCATACCTTGTCAGAAGGTAAGACTGGACCCTCCTGCCTACATAGGTCAGTGTCCCCAATCACCGTACCTCAGAGGGTGGCGGTGGATCCAGAGGGTACTAATAGAACGACAGATCGATGTTCGCTGCTTGACCCGCCCTGCAGATCGACGATGCCGAACGTGCTCGATGCCCCTTTACGGCTTCAGCTGCTTCCTTTGGGTTGAGAAAGCTAGGACTGGGTGAAGATGTTGACCAGGTTTACCAATGCTCAGCTAACTGAGTGTCTTAGCCCACATGTTGACAAGGTGATTACTTAAGGAAGAACAGGGAGATTGGTGTTGATTGGTGTTGAAGCATCCTGGTGACATTGATCAGTTGGACATGCAATTAGACACCCCCCAGTTAGAGGACTAACCCAATGGGGGCCTGTGAGTTTCTTTGTTAGCAAGAGGATCCTAGAGAGTGCCTGTTGACGTCACATCATCAACTCACTGAGTGTCAAAGACTGTCGACTTTGTATTTGAAAGGGATCTTCCTTTACTTAACTGAGGCAAACTATCGTCTTTCGACTTCCAGGAAACTTGTAATTGTTTGCACTACCCCTCACACTCCATCGGACTTAATCGGACTGGTATTTATGGATCAGTTGTGGTGGTTTAGTGGTCAATGTTCCCATGTACATGCGTGTTAGGCAAGGGCACTTAAAGAGGTTTTTCTTTTTTAGTGGATTTTTGATTGCTGACTGACTGATGATGTTTGATTGCTGACTGATGTTTGAATATGTTTCATGATGTTTCATGATGGACTGGGACATACCAGGCATTCAAAGGGTATGTAACATACCAAGCAGTGTTTATACCTGGGATCTGGCCATACTCAGGATATCTCAGGATGCTCCAAACTCTCATGTGGTTCCAATCGACTCACGTCAAACATACAGGGATGCCGACTCCGACAACGGGAATCTAGTGACTATGGGTCAAAGTGAAGGTCCAAATCTAAATCGATACCTGGAGTCTCAGTTTGTACCTGAGAAAAACGGGTACAAGTACCTGCTTTTGGGTTGTGTTTCATTTTCCAAGGTACTTGAAGTCGGGCCCGGGTAAGCTGTTTGGGGGCTGGCAGTCTCCTGTCTTATTGTAGGCTCGACTGAGCCATGCAGGCCTTGTGAGCTTGAAAAACATGTTTCTCAGAAAACCCAAAGAGGCTCCTGGGTCACACTTTTACGCTTGTTTTCTTCGTCCAAGGTGAAGCAGTGCTTGCGCAGATCCGATGGCGTGTCGAAGCCCGGCGCCTCGAATTGGAGGAAGAGCTTTTCAGCCAGGCGCAGGGGCTGCGGTGCGGTGCGCAAGATCTGGAAAAACACCTGTTTGTAGAAGGATACTGTTTTTTTTCAAGGGGGCATGTTCCACTTCCATGATAGTTTCAGGAAGTATACAATTGAATATAATTGGTATATATGGGTGTATGGGTATTGGAGGGGTCTCACTCCATTGTGCAGCTGTGAAACGCGGCTTCGTCGTTTCCATGAGACGGCCTCGCTGGCGATGTGCTGGTGGCACAGACAAAACAAGGGTTGCCAGTGAACCATTGGGCAGTTACAAGGGTGAAGTTTTGGTAGAACCCAGCGAAAGAGAGTTGCATGTACAGTAACTATGCAAACAACGAGCTGCGAGCTGTGAGCGGGCGTTTGCTGCTGTTCAAAGGAGTTCCGTGGGTTTTCATTTCGGAGCCGACCGTGGTGACCTTAAGCGGTGTTTTCAATGTCAATGCATAATGCATGGAATTGGTGTAGCAGCAGCACAGAGACTTTGGGAATTTTCTGTTGCAAACTTGACCCCGTACAATGGTTTTTGTTTTGTCCAATTTGCCATTTGCTCGCCAGACCAACCAATTCGTATTAAACTCCAGGAACGTGTTAAGTTCATTGGGTTTGACATTTTGTGGGATGGACTGTTCTATGTTCCTTCCAAACACTTTACGCATGGTATATACCTACATTGACCCCAAGTCAACCACCCCAATGTATGTCACCATGCCAGTCCCATGGAGTATATGTTTTTCTATGTTTTTTTGCATGAGCAAGGACGCTACTAGGGGCTCCTGGCATCGCCGAGCGCAGCGCTTGCGCGGATCGGCCAGGCCACGCTGGATGCGGATCGACCGGATCAAAGGGTCGCTGGGTGGAAGCGGCCGTCGGGCATCTGTGGCAGTTGGAGGTTGGAGGTCTAAACAGGTGGATTTCAGCTACGTCCAGTTGCGTCCCAGGCTCGGACACCAGGAGTCACAAAGGAGTTGATCATGGTGTTCGGCACCCTGACTTCCTCCAAGTTCGGCACCCCTTGGTGTTTGTCCTTGGGGTGTGTAATGGTGTGTATCTGAATCATAGGGGGACCCCCGATCACCCCTGGGAGTAGACCGGCTTCTCCTGAAGCGAACCCTGGCAGGAGGTCGGAACGCCGGTGGGTCGGTCCTCCCTAGCACGACACAGCCGCCCATACGGCACACACCGTGGCAGTATGCAGCCCAGGCTGCTGCTCCTGCTGCGGTGAGTTGGAGTGGAAACCACTTAGCATGGTAATAACTATCACCTCTAAGCATTTGGTGACTCCGCAAGGCACCGTGACAGGTCGGTTGGGATGATGCCGATCCGGCCCCTCAGCCTGCCAAGTGACATCAGATTCCTTGACTTCCCAGAGGTTTCTGTGGATCTCTATACCGTTCTTTAGTCAAGTGCAAGATGCCCCAGTTGGATCGGGGGCGGCCTGGCTTTTCTCACCCAAATCAATATTGAAAAGAAAAGGAAGGACAGACCAGTGTCTAAACCTCCAACCAACCTAACTCCCTCTGAAACTCGCGACAGGTGGCACTGGGTTGGGTGCTTTTGGGACTGTCCCTACCTTGTTCGCGCGACTATGGCCAGGAGGCCCCATATTCGACCAAACCAAGAAAACACATCCCAATCGCTCCATGTCGGATGATCTATGATCTGCCAGCATCCTCCAACAGGTCACCACCTGCCATGTTTAAATCTTCAAAAGCCACCAGACGAGACCTCGAGGTTGCTGGGGTGCTGGCATCTATACATTCACCACTAAAACCAACCTATATACTAGCTTGTGTAGGTCATATATTTGCACTCCCTTACCTCGCGCCCAGGCGCTCTGCCGGTTCGTCTCGTCGGTCCCTAGGATTCCTTGGGAGCCTTCCCTCCCGTCATCAACCACGCACGTGCCAACTTGGACTTTGCCCTGACCCGGGCGAGGGGCGGTGGCAGCGGAGCGGGGTTCTTCGGGGGGGGTGTTTCGCCGCATGTTCTGTGCCCTGCGTTTCATGGTTTTAGGTCGTTTGATGGAGATCACATCTTCGTAGTGTGGGGCCCCCAGCTATATGAAAACAATATACCTGGAGCCTCTAAAGTCGCTCAGGGCCTCGTGGGTACACGGTGTTTTTCCCTTGAGTTTGTCGTCGTTCGGGTCAAGCTCGAAATTTCAAGGGCCTCGTTCGGTATGACCTGGAGGGGGGTCCAGGCACCTGAATGTCCTTTGAAAGACCCAAGAAGGGATTCCCTTAAGGAGCTCGGAACCGCAAGTGACTGCATTGCGGGGAACCACAGGGTTACTGGAAGACACATGCAAATTGGTGACTGGAAGGTTGGACGCCGTGCTTTAGCGAGTTCCACCAGTCCACAGATTCATATATGTTAGAGGGATAGCTTTGGAATGCACATGCGCACAGAGAAAAGACGCAAGCAGAATGCACGATGGTCGTGCACGATGTTTTGGACCTTTGGACCTTTGGAGGGGTTGGATGTTTGGTGTGTCAATCCTTGTCTTTAACAACACCGATGCATCCTTACGAAGAGGCTCCGGTCCACAGAACCTGTCGACCAGAACCCGACCTGCTGTGCCCACGGCACGGTCCGAACGGACCCACGTTACGGCGGCAGGTTCGCACGAAGATGGAACAGCATGGCATCCGGAGGCCGACCGTCAGTGGACATGCGAACAGATCAAAGCTACACCCGTTTATGCAAGTGCTGAAGCGCTTTTCAGCTACGTAGCAAGAAGCTACTATTTTGGGGGGCGCTCCTGGCATTACTAGTAACAAGGAGCTGCTAGTTTCATGGCCTCGAGGGGAGAATGTGAAAGACGAAGCATCTCCTGGGTTTGCTGAAGGTGATTTATTTGTTCCCTACGGGTTTCATCCGAAATCCCCTCCTGGGAAATATGTTCTATTTTTTCCTGGTTCCTTAAGCAAATCCAAGATCTGACCTGGTTTTGAAAACAAAGGAATGGCCTGGCAGCGCCGAAGTCTCACACTGGGAAAACCATGTGGCCTAGAAAGGCCAATAGTCACTATTGGGATGCCATCGCATGATGGATAAAAGCGATATGTGCCTTTTCCGGAAATGAAGGATAAAGGCAAGATCGCAGCAGAACGGGTGTTCCCTGGTGGTTGTATCTAGATAGAGTTTCATGTCATATACCCCCATCTATATATAATTTTATGTTGTGTATATATCTGTGACGGGTCAACGTTGTTCCATGTCTTAGAGCATTTCTTCCTTCTGCAGAAGCACCTGCTGTTTTGACAGTTGATTCACATATAGACTATAGATCTCATACTTCCAGGATTCTTGGGACAGATCAACAATACAAAATTGATCAAGCCAGGTCCAGTGTGATCCCACCACCGTTTTAACGTCCAAAACCTTGCGTTTAAACCTGTGTATAGACATGTTGGACGGAGCCGGAGCTGTTTTTTCTTTGTTCAGGGGCCATGCGTTCGTCTTCTGGCGGTAACCCAATGGTTCGAAGGGTCCAAAGCACCAAATCGCACCAGGCTTTGGACCTTAGACCTTTCTACTAGGAGCAAGAGGACGCTACTAGGAACAAAGGGCATCGCTACTAGGAGCAAAGACGCTACTAGGGGCTCCTGGCCTTACTACTAGTTACTAGTAACAAGAAGCTACGAACGTAACAGGACCCTACTAGTAACGTTGCAATTGGTTACATTCCTCCGAAACATGGCAGGCAGCCGGCAGAAAAGACCGAAGCTCGAGAGATCAAGGCGGATTTTTCGCAGCTGCTGCAGTCGCAGTCGCACGCGAAGAGGGCTTTGATTGCTTATAGTGATGTTTACTCTTGATTCATGAACCCCTTCATTTGGATGCACGCACTTGCGGACCATCTGAGACGAGCGCACCCACTCTTCCCCTTCTCGCCTTCATTTGGATTGTAAAAGCCCTTCATTGGATTCGATTCATCTAAGATTATACATTATAGTTGTAGGTGAGTGCTATAGTTTATCAGGAGTGCTGTTGGTATTTGTTGTGAGGCGATCGGTAATCGGTACGTAACTTGTTGAGCATATATGCATGCAGCATGCATGTGTATGCATGTCACGTATGTACATCAAACATCATCAAACACAAAAACAGCGCAAACAAACATGCTGAGAGGTGAGAATTCGCATGGTTTCATGATTCATTTGTCTTTGGAATCTTTCAATTCCTCTCCATCGCAGCTGCACCCGCTGCACCCGCCCACACGCCCGACCGAGCTGCTGGCCCGCCCGACCGGTACGGTCCTGATACCTCGGGTGCCTCGGGACGGAGTTTTCGGAGCCCTGTGACCTTCGGTGCCCTGTGTTTCGGTCCACTAACCAGACCTGGTGATTTGGGTGGACCGGTGGGTTTGCTTGATCCAGACCTGGTGACGGAACCGCATGGCGCGGCAAGGAAGGAAGGTGTTGAACTCCTGCAAACGCGATGCGTTTCAAACGCGCATGACACAGGTTGATAGCAGCATTCTGGATACACTCCCCGAAACACTCATGGAAGTGGAAGACACCTTTTTCTCTACCAAGGGGGGGTTGCTCAGCTTCGTCATGTTTGCAGATTCAGCTTTCGGAGGCTCCGCCTGCTTCGCCCTGCACCTACGAGCAGATGGTGGTTCGCATGCGGCACAGCTGGGATCAACGACTAAAGGTTCTGGAAGGAGATGGGACGGGGGGAGGCAACTCAAAGAGACAACTGTTGGAAGGTGCCATAGTTCTGGATGTCATATATAGATACCAATCCTACTTGTATGGAGCCAATGGAGTGTTTGATACCAGGAGCATCCTCTGTTTTGGTGTCCAATGTTCACTTTCCCATCCCTCAGACAGAAGCACACGAAGAAGGACCAGGAATCTGCGGTTTTTCCAGGGTCCTTGAGGTGATGGTTTGTACCTGAGAGTCGCAGAAGTATAAGTAAACCTCGGACAATGCGTATTATACAGTACATGATTATACAAGTGCCTGCAGTATAGTTGATGTTCATGTGATGTTCCGAACTCGTTATGATACGTTTGGAGGGTTCACATCCAAGTACATCAACACTATGTGGCAACACATCTTCTGGAACTGATCTCCGGTCACAGTCTGACATCGGTGCCTGTTCAGCCTGGCAATCCGCTGGTGCCGGCGCCGTGCTCCCGACGGACCGGACTGGCCCCGAAGCATCCGTTGGAGCCGATCGATGCCGATTCTGAAAAGCTCTCCCATAGCGTCCAGGTACCTCCTGAGGATGGTCGAACGGATGTGAGTACGTACGAAACCAGAGAATGGTCGTTGCCGGGGGGCGATTCGGATGGTCCTGGATCCTTAGGGTCTAAGGGTCTCAAAGGCTTTTGGGACCGGAAGGATTGGGCGGACCGCTGTCACGGAGCTGTTTTCAGGGAAGAGAAGCTGGGGACACCGACGATGCATCGCTGGTTCATGGGACGAGATGTTGCAAGGTATTGGGAGTCCGTCCTGGGGGGAAGTAGATGGGGAGACTTGGACCCTCCTCCTGTACCTTAGAAAATGGGACATGACCCCATAAATTGGACATGACTCCATGCAGGTTGCACCAATCCCAGGCACCAACTGAGACTCCAGGTAGGTCAAAACCTGCCCCAAAAAGCATGGTACCTGGCACCATGGCACCGTGACCGCGTGGCCAGGACAAGGACGGACCCGAGGGTCTCCACGGCCCTAGAAGCGAGGCACCGCTGAGTGGGGAGGAAGTGCTGGAAGGGAAGGGGCCAAATGGTGGAGGAGGGTCTCATGCGCATCCAAGGAATTCGCCATTCGCATGATTTCACATGTCTCCACTCTGCTGGTTTTTTCTTGGCCCATAGGGTCCAGGTACCTCCGTACTTCGGATGGTCGTTGCCGGGGGGTCAAAGGACATCCGATTCGGATGGTCCTGGACCCTTATTAAGATTACTTAAGATTTATAAGGGTGGGATCGTTCTGGAACTGCTTGGAAAGGACCTCGACCTTCTCGACCCGACGACTCCTTCGTACCCCAAACGAACACCCCACCTTTGCAGGCATAGACATGTGAAACCCAACGTACCAAATGTAAGAAACCCATCCTTACTCTTCAATCAACCAATAACTGAAGTTGTAGCTTTGTGCAGCACATTCCCAAATCTTGGCCAGTTCCTTGCCACCGTCCAGCGCCACTCCCCGAACGCTCGCGCGGCCGCCACTTGCCGCCCTTGTGCTCAGGTCAGTGAAGTGTAGTTCGCAACTGGAGAAGACCTCCGGTATTTTTGGAACCGCTCCCAAGAGACCGACGACTCCCACGAGAGAACCCGAGCCAAGCCTACCAAGCCGAGCCAACCGAGCCTACGCTTAGCCCCAAAGGGGGGGGCCGAAAGAGCACTTTGGACGATGTGCGTGTGTGATGGTTCCGTTCGACATAACATATAACATATGAATACATATGAATCATGTATTTTATCGGAGCATAGCTCCACACGTTGGCTGCAATTCAGCTAGGCATGTTGCATTGAAAAGACACGGAAGACCGGGATCCATTGATTCACTTCTTCGAACGAACGCACGTGCTTAGCCGCCACGGCCACGCCACGGCCACTCACGTGGCAGATGCGACCCTCTCCTTGGGACCGATGTAGCTGGTTCTCGCCAATCAGAGAAGACATGAGCAGCCTTAAACGATCTTCAACGATCTGTCACAAACACAAGCAGCAGAACCAGTCTTGGGACCATTCCGACCCGAGAACTTCGGGTTGCGCGGACGACGTCTCGTTCCCAAACATGACGGCAGTGTCAACAGAAAGCAGGTACGACGGGAAACCGGGAAACCCCTCATGTTGGACTCGAACAAACTCACCAGGGGAATTTATATAGTCCCCCCATTCTCTTCGGACGGACGACAAGTCGGGGCAAAGGTAGTCATTTTACTTGGAGCCTATAGGATTCCAGCCGCAATAATTTAAGGCTGAATCCCGAAAAATCATTGTTGTTTTACTATAGGATACTATATTCGACAAAACCAGATCCCAGTAGCTCCAAGGGGTGCCGAACTTGTAGGATAGGGGTGCCCAGAACATCCACTCACTGGATGGGAAAAAAGACAACATCCCTTCGTGGCCCCTGGTCAATCATTTTTGGTTTGGAGGCCATTGCTAGTAGGTTGGAGGCCATCCCTACTAGGAACAAGAAGCTACTAGTAGCAAGGACGCTACTAGTTTCGAGGCCATCGCTCTTAGGTTGGAGGCCATCCTCCATTTGTTGTTTCATGCTCTTGGAGACCAGCTGAAGCTAAGGGAGTCGCCGAGAAGAAATCGGTCTCGTGCGCGCAGACTCGGGGGCTGCCCGTTGTGATTTAATGCAATCTCTTGCAGGCTGCCATGTAAGCATCCGACAAAACTTCACATGCACTTTAGTCATGATCCGCCTTAAGTATATATGTATAAATAACCTTAGTAAAATCAGGACTAGGGGCCAACCCTATACCGATATATACCCTGTCTTGATTTCTTGATTCAACGTTGTTCATTGCCTGCATTCCAAAACACTTGAAACTGATAGGGGCCAACACACTTCTTTTGGAAGGGGTATTGGGGACACGAAGAAGTTTTGTCCGCCACTCATGTGTTCTTTAGGCATGAGAACTCCTTAATGAAATGATTCTTCCCATAGACTCGCAGGACATCCACTTCTTCTGTGTGCGCGGTGGCAACAAGGAGTTCCACCGTCCGAATTGATCTGTTTGGAGATGAAAGAGGTAAGGTGGTTGTCCTTTATTTTTGCTTTGCTGATGTTTGCTTGTTTTCTGACATGTGGGGTTAGCAGCAGACTTTGAATTACCACGTCCAGTGCAAAGGAGCACCAGATCGTCGATCGGTAAAGATCATTATCACAATCATCATCAGCAACGTCATAAAGGAATTTCACTGGTAACCAATTCTACATAATTCTACTCTTGTCAATTTGACACTGACACAGGCATGCCTGCATTCTCCCCTAGCTGAACCCATGACAATCAAGATTACATAAGATTACATTTGGGTACTGTAATGCATCATGTTGGATTTTGTTGTACATTGTTCAATTGGCAGTTCTTCCGTTCCATGCCTCTGAATTGCTGAATTGCTCGCCACAAGTTGCACTGAGCCTGGAAGAGAAATACAAGAGGGGGAACCAGGTTGGGAGCAGGTGCAAGGTATGTGTGTTTGTTTTGGAGTGTTCGTGTGGAAACACATTTCTCAGTTGTTGACCTTGACCCTTGATTTTGATCCGTGACGGTTTCCCTCATAATGGACCTGTCCCCAGTTCAACGATGTCGAACAAATCAGGGAGAAAGAACAAGAAATATGAAAAGCGGTGAAGATGGCTGGATGCCATCTCCGCAGGTGTTCGGTGCTAGCTTCCGGTACACAGCTCACGGATGGGGGGCCGTCTCAAAGGCAGGTGCTCGGGTGCCGGTGCCGAATGGAGGATCAGGGTTTTTCCATGATCCCACTCACTGGATGGGACTAAAAACATCAAAACATGCCTTTAACACTTTTAAACATGCCTGTGTTCTTTGTTCCAACCGACTGCGAAACATGGGTTCCTTGCATAGAAGATACCCCAGTAGCTCCGGTGAAAGTGCTTCCACAGTCGGAGCTAAAGGACATATTCAGATGGTGCTGCACCCTGAGGGATAATTGGTAACGGGAATCCCTTGGTCACACGGTCTGGGTCCCTCTTTTTTCCAGAAAACCCTCGTTCTGGCGACGCAGACCGCAGATGCAGACCTGGTACGGACCCGTCGGAAGGGTGGAGGAAAGGTGAGGTCTCCTAACAGAGAAAGGTCAACTAATCTGAAGTACCTGGAGAGCGATGGCCTCCAACCTAAGAGCGACCTATGAGCGATGGCCTCCAACCTAAGAGCGACCTATGAGCGATGGCCTCCAACCTAAGAGCGACGGCCTCCAACCTAGTAAACAATGGCCTCCATCCAACCTAAGAGCGATGGCCTCCAACCTACGTAATAGCGATGGCCTCCAACCTAAGAGCGATGGCCTCCAACCTACGTAATAGCGATGGCCTCCAACCTAAGAGCAAAGGCCTCCAACCCAATAGTGATGGCTTCCAACCTAAGAGCGATGTCCTCCAATCCAAGTGCAATGTGGCCTCCAAGCCTCCAACCTAAGGTCAATCTGAAGTGCCTAGACCTTTGGTTCTTACCCTAGAAAAATGGGACATGACCTGAGCAAAAAACAGAAACGACTGGGCCCCATAGACTCTGAGGTAGGAACTGAGAGAGACTCCAGGTAGTGTTTGAACAGCGTATAACATGGATGTTTTGTTCCATGAAGTTTCCAGACTATGAAGCTTCCAGACTGGGGTTTTCCTCACCCAAAAACGAGGGTCGGTACCGACCTGGAGCCGTAGTGTTTGATCGGTTTCACGTCTTGGAGACACCTCGCTCGAAGTCGCTGGAGAAAAGGGACGGTGGCCGTTTGGATTGGGGGGTTCACCTGACGACATTCGGACCCGTGGCCGAAAATGGAACAGGACCCGAACCAAAAACTGGTACTTCTATGTACGTTATGTACTTGTGCCATGTTTTGTCCCATGTTTTGTCCTGTGAACTTGTCGTGCACGGCGAACGAAGTCCGTGTCGAAAAAGAAAGCACGAGGATCGACGATCCTCACGGCCGCGCCTTTTCAGCGCGCATGAACCCTCCCATGCTTGAGAGGTGAGTTGCGGGTGACATGAAACAGGTTCATCTTCAAGAACCTAAGTGTACAGCGTACACTTCACACGGGGAAAAAGTTCTTTTCCTCATGTGTCTAAAAGTCGCTGCTCGTAGGCGTCCAGCCAGCGAAAAACCAGCACCCTTGCGGGCTCTCCTTCTCGTGGATCGGTCAGATCCGGTGGCAGCATGCGGACGCTGCACAGATGGCATCTCTCACTCATCCGAAAGGACGATGCTTCTCGACCAACCAGAGAGGTGCACTCAGGAGTGGCATGCCATCGATGACCATGCCTTGACATCCAGATCTTCTGGTAAAAGGGGCAGTCGTTGGAGTGCTCATCCATCTGCCTGATGCACATGCGAAGGAGATCATTGGCCTCGCTCAGCAGGTTCTCTGCTGTGCACTGGTACGCTAGCACCATGTCAGCAGCAGCTCGACTTTCAGAAGCTGAGGACTTGAACTGCACAGCGCGGTTGCGCCATAGAGACACTTCTTCTTTTGCTTTCGCCAGCTCTTCACGAAGGCGGGAGTGAATCACCAACTCGTCCTTTTGAACTGCAGCTTCTGCCACCACAGGGCGTCCAGGTTGGCGGGTCCAACGGCCAGCCAGGAATGCTGAGCTCATGACCATGAGGAAGCCGGTGAACAAAATCATTCCCACAAAGTCAACTTCTTCTTTCTTTTCGGTGGTGAGGTCGGTGCCAACAACTAGCTGGGGAACCATCACAACCAAGCAAAGGAGCTGGAGGAGGTACTTCATGAAGCCTGCACAGGGCTTAGTCAAGCGGCCAGGCACGACATGGCTGGACCTACGGTTGACATACACAATGGCGTCATCGGTGCGAGCACACATGACATTCTCAAGGACCTGTTCATTCGTTGGGTCCTGGTCTTCATCAAGCAGGTGCTCATCAACATTGTGCTCAATTTCTTCAGTCTCAAAGGGCTCGTGTGGGTCCAGGTTGTCGGGCTGGCTGATGCTCTCGTCCTCAAGCTGAACCTTGGGGCTTTCCTGAACACTCTCCAGTCGGCTCTGCTGAAGTTCTTCTTTCGTCTTTTTCTTCGCGGCTTTGTATGAGGGATCCCATACCAGCTTGAGTCGACCATGACGAAGTCGTTGTGCCAGGAGAAGCCGTGCAGCCTCTTTTGTCAGACCATCTGCGATCTGTCGTTCGGAGGACATCCACCGAAGGTTGCCGCCCAAAGCACTGAGGCGGTCCTTCATGACCCTGATCTCCAGAGAGACCCTTTTGTCGACCACAGAACTTGACACACCTTCTCTGTGGTAGGAGTCGAACAAAGCCTTGGCGTCCGTGACCATGACTGGGGCCAACAGCGACGGGGCATTCGAGACGTGTTGCAAGCTCTGCCGAGGGTCCATGAGCAAACTCCAGTAGATGCTGGCATGTTCGAGGGCGTCACATGCCTGTCCTCCACTTTGAGCTTCCGCGCCGGGCGATGACCGAGCAATCCTCGGTGTCTTCATGCTGCGCCAGTCGAGGATGTGGTAGGCGCCTTCAGGGCCATTCGCTTCAAGCAGGCTTTGGTGCAACAACATGATCACATAGCCAGCTTGTGATGAACCATCACTCCTTGTGGCGAATGCAGCATCAAAAAAACACACCATGCGAAGTTCTTCAACAGGGCCCAGATGGGCATAGTGCAAACCAACATCAGCATGCTCCTTAGCGAAACGCAGTAGACG